ATAGATAGATTTTATTATTTACTCTTATTATAGTTAACTTAAATTATACTTTCTTACTAGTTACTNTACTTAATAAGATTATTACTTATTAGTCTATTTAATATAGATTAGTAGTTATTAAACCTTTATTACCTTCTATCTAAGCACACTACTCTACTATATCGCTAGATAAACTCTTATAGCGCTCTTCATACTATCTCACTCGCCCTAACCCGGATCAAGCTTAGAGAAGTATCAGCACCTAACCCCGTGTAACATTGTATTAGATTCTTGGATTATCTATCTTCTATGCACTCCTATATGCCTCTGAGCGACCTTATCTCCGAAACTAGTCTGATTTATCTTGCCTGTGCCGTTATAAATTCGGCAGAACTGGGCTCCGTGGGGCGAGTGAGACGTGTTGAGATTAGCTACTTTACTAGCTTCTAGCTCTATAGCACGTTGGCTACACGACTTAGCACTAGTTGCAATCGATTTCTTAGGATGGATTTATATATATTTGGCTAAAATGACACTTATTCTGAAAAACTCGAAGTTGGTGTTTGAGGTGAGCTTGACAGGCCTGTATAGAGCATGGGTAATTTTATTAAAATTCTGCTACAGTAGCCGTTAGGCCTAAGCAAGGCAAGCCTTCTTCATTCTATGCTATGTGATCAATCGATATAATTAGGAATTCCCCGGTTTTTGCTGCGTCATGACAGGTGCACTGCCTCTTTATCCTACAAGATCATTTTCCTGGCGAGAAGTTCAAGTAGCCTCCGGCTGTCTTCAGAGGATCCCAGGCATCTGGCCCTTTCAGCATGACCGCCAGGCTCACCAGCGCTGCAATACTCAGACCCTTGAATACAACGCCTCGGTAAGATATGGTGTCATTTCCATTTCTATCAAATGAGACAGACACAGGTGGAGCGAGAGTGCTAGCTTTCTTGAGTGTGTAAGGAGCGTAGCGGGCTCCCATGACCATTTCCATCCAGCCTGGTAAGACGTTTGTAGTCGTTCGCAGATGAGAAAAGGTCAACACGCCATAATGGCCATGGTAGTATCCCAGACCAGAATGGCCAACGCCACCGAAAGGAGTATCATGTGTAGCGACATGTAATACACAGTCGTTGAACGTAACGCCGCCTGACTGGGTCTCATTTAACAGCCGCGCTTTTTCCTCCTCCTTGTTTGTGAAGGCGTACAAGACGAGGGGATGTTCATGGGCGCGAGTGTAGGCTATTGCGTTGTCCAAATCGGCGTCTATGATAGGTAGTATAGGACCAAAGAGCTCTTCAGACAGCAAAGAGTCGCCTGGCTTTACCCCGGTCACAATTGTTGGGGCAAAGAATCTTGTCTTGCGGTCACGTTCGCCACCATAAATGATTTGGCCCGAAGTTTCCTGGAGAAGGTTGTCGAGTCGGTCGAAATTTCGTTCATTGATAATGTGTGTGTAATACTCTGGTTGAGTTTTACCGTCCCGGAAAGTGTCGAACCACTTCTTCAATTCCACAGTGAGAGCATCTCGCACACTTGGATCGACGAGAACATGGTTCACGTTTAGACAAATCTGAAGACGCACGATCTGTTAGCATGTATGCATAGGAATATAAGCAAGGACGGCGGGATGGGATCATTTACCTGTCCGGAATTCATGAACTTGGTAGCAGCAATACGCTTGGCGGCGAGGTTTATGTTGGCGGATTTGGTAACAATGGCTGGTCCCTGGCCGCCGAGCTCGAGTGTAACTGGTGTCAAGTTCTTGGCCGCAGCCTGATGGATAATCTTGGCGACATTTGCAGAGCCGGTATAGAATATGTGATCGAATCTGTGGTCCAGGATATAGGACATCTCTTGTGGGCCTGCCCTGATTGCCCTGATCGCGTTTGTATCCAAATACTGCGGAATGATCTCCATCAATAGTCTCTGAGACGCCGGCGCGTTATCAGAAGGCTTTAAAATCATAGCGCAACCAGCAGCTATAGCAGCGACCATAGGTTGTAGAAGTAAACAAAATGGAAAATTCCAAGCTCCGATAATCAAAGTTACGCCTAGTGGTTCTTTTCTGACAGTGGTATTCCCTAAGAAGTTGAGAAGGCTGGTCCTGCTTGGCTTTTCATCCGCAGTCCACCTGTCGAGGTTCTTAAGAGTATCGAGAATGTCGGATTGAACAGCGGCACAATCTGTAATGTAGCTTTCCTGGCGGTGTTTATGGAGGTCTTCGTGAAGGCACTGCACGATGCGATCCTTGTTATCCTCCATCATCCACCAGGCCCGTTTCAACTGACGACGCCTCCATTCTTTGTCTTTAGTGAGGCCTGATGCAAATCCATCTTGCACAACCTGATATGCCTGCAAGGTGTGAGCCAAACTGGAACTGCGACGACGAAAACATGCGTTGGGATGTAACATACCTCATCAAACTCTTTCGACGTACTGTAAACCATTTTTCCAGTGAGTAAGGACAGGCCCGTTGCGAAAGAAACCACTTCTGGGACGAAATTATCTGGAACGACGCGACGCTTCCGAGTAAGCAGCTTTAGTAGCTTTAGTCCGGTGTTAAGCCGCGCTAGTGTCCGGACATGCGGAACAAGGGCAGGAGCGATTCAGCGGTGGGTCCTCTGAGATATCGTGACTGTCTGCCCGACCTACCCTAGTAATTTTTATCACAGCCGCACAGCTGGCAATGAGTCAGTCCATCCTCGAAGCAATGCCAAGTTTACCCCTCGCAGGATTTACGAACGACCGGTGGTGCATGGATAGCCAGGATCACATGCAAGCCAAAGACGCTACCTTAGCACAACTCACACACCTCTCTCATCTAAACAATGCAACGGCTCTACGTAACGCCGCTAACCAAGATCGTCTAGAACATTTTCTTGAATAGCAGGTAATAACACAGGAACCCCCATGGCAACAAACGTCAGCCTGATTTATTATTTGGATATCACGATCAAAAGGTTACTGAGATTTGGATTTGATTCTAGTCGTACTAAATAACAGCCATGCTGTAGATCATCTACATTATGCTGTCGCAGAAGTGCACAAAGGTTAGAATGCCGGATCTGGAGTCCACCGTACAAGTTGTAGGCAGTAAGATAGCATAGCTACACTATTCAAGGACATGAGCACGCTTGTAGCCCATCTGGTAGAAGGGTTAAATCAAGTCTTCATTATTTGGCTTCGGGCATTCAACTTACGGCCTGAGATTGATATAAGCTGAGATTGAGCTAGGCGCAACGGCAACAAGAAGGCCGGAAGCTAAGGGTAAGGTTAGGAGGTTATAGAGCAAAGACCAATTGAGCGTAGGTCGGACTCGACGCGTCGTTTCATGAGTTAAAGCGATCAAATATTCTAGTTGCTGGAGGCTGCTCCTATGAGGAGAGGAGGTGGAATGGGAAAGCTTATCGGCTTGGGACTTTCTCAAGTTGCCATTGGAGAGTAACAAGGCATCTGCTTCTTCTTGTAAAGTTGCTAGAAGACTTTGGCCGTACTTGTCGTAGCTATTATTGAGCTTCGGATTATGCGATACGACGACTCCGAAAGCTGCTGTAGAAAGTGCAGGAGCATCGTTGATGTTATCGCCGACCATGATGACAGGGCCATGGTGCGCTTGAAGCCGGTTGATGAGCTCTGCTTTGTCCGGAGGAGCCAGGTCGGCGTAGACTCGGGTAGGCGGAATGCCGACATGGTTAGCCACTGCAAGAGCAGCCACCATTGTATCCCCTGTCATCATGAATACTTGAAAACCATGCCCATGTAGGGAATCCATGACTTGACTCGCATCGGGAATGATGTCGCTTGCATATTTCATACAGCCTGCTAGACGGTGGTCGATGGAGATATACACCATGCTGTCAGATGTTGTAGTTGATAGTCCAAGACATGAATCGGGTGCAAAGTAGACTTGCTGTGCGTGCATATGCCGAACATTGCCTATGGCCACTTCGAATTCTGATCCCTTGAATATGAACTTGCCTGTCAAACCGGATCCGGGGTTCTCTTCGTAGTGTGATAGAACAAGACGACTGAGGCAGATGGAGTTTTTAGCTGACTCAGATTGCTCTTCGGCTTTTCTCGACAACAAGACAGAGACAGGGTGTGATGAGCACTGCGAGAGTTGACCAATCATTCGCCAGATCAAAGCCTCTTGTTCTGCCGACGTATTCCATTCCACAGTCATCTCAATCGCTTTTGCGTGCAAAGTGCTCGAGGTCAAAGTACCTGTCTTGTCAAACACGATCACCTTGGCGTCGGCTGCTCGCTCTACCTGTGGACTTGGTTTTAAGAAAATACCGGCAGCATGGGCGTTTGCTTAGAAATGTTAGTAACAAGCAAAAAGTCAAACATTCCACACAGAATCTTCGGAACACTTACCATTGGCGGACATGAGGCACATTGGAATGCCTAGCCCCAATGTACAAGGGCAGGCGCAGAGCAGCACGGCGGCGACTTTGTTGAGGACGAGAATGGTGGATGCACCGGTGAAGTAGTGATAGAGTCCGGTCGCAGCAGAACAGCACAAGACAGCGGCACTGAACCACCTGAGAATTCGATTGGAGAACATCTCGGCATCGGATTTGGTTTCATTTCCTTTGGCGATAGCTTGCAGTGTTCGAGCTAACCAAACTTATTTACCCGCTTTGCAAACTTTGACTGTCAATTTTCCTGGACCATTCGAGCACCCAGCATAAACCTCGTCGCCAGGGGAGACGGGTCTTGGTTCAGGCTCTCCCTTGATGATTGTCTCGTGGACTGTTGAATGACCTTCTACTATTCTACAATCGGCCGGGATGGAGTCGCCCGGGGCCAGTAAAAGTAGATCTCCAGGCTGAAGCAGGTCTGCAGGGACCTGGACAGGATTGGAGCCATTGGTATCATCAGGTGCGATGACAGCGGCTGTCGAAGGCATCGTATTTGCCAACAAGGCGGGCAGTTGAATATTCCGAGTTGTTACTAGACATCTCATCAAACGACCTCCAAGAATAGTGGCAACGAGCAGGTATACACCAGTTTGATTGAAAGAAGCAGCGTCACGTGGTGCCTCCCAAACATCATTTGAGAGGGTGGGCAAGAACTTTCTAGTTCCTAGTCAAGATTCTCAACTTCAAATCCTACTTGAATTCTACAATTGTTTTATGTCACTAGATGGCTGGGGCATGGTGGATGGGTTTGCACAAGCATATCCTGAGCTTGTGGATGGGTTGAACATTGAAATTATTCATTATGAATCTGGTTAAATTCTGCTTCCCTCCACAAATGCTAATCATTCACGCACATTAGTATGTTATGCTGCGGAATCTTCGTCAGTATATCTGAATCTTCAACAGATAGGATCACTTACTTTATGAAGACCGTCTTGTGCTCTGTGTAAGCTTGGATCCCGTACTATCGATGAATCTAGTCAGCCTGTACACCATATAATCGATAATTCGGCACTCACCTTGCCCAACTCCCTTCCCCAGCCACTAGACTTAAACCCACCGAATGGCGCGAAGATATCGACCATGGTGCAACAATTCACACATACTGTTCCGCTATGGATCTTAGCCGAAACACGCATGGCTCGGTTGATGTCCTGAGAGAACACTGCCCCCGAAAGGCCAAACGGTGTAGCATTGGCCCGGGCAATCACCTCTTCCTCCTCAGTAAATTCACTGATCACTACAACTGGACTAAAAATCTCCTCTTTGTATATTTTCGCGTCTGCATTAGGATCAACGAAGATGGCCGGTCGCATCCAGCATACCTAGTACTCTATTAGCGTCAATGCTCTTGCAGGCTGTTGGGGATTGTACTCGCCTTATCGAACAGTGCAGCGCCTCCAGTAACCAGAGTTGTTTCTGTTTTCCCACTTTCTACATAGCTCAACACTCGTTCGAACTGCATCTTGTCCACGAGTGGACCGATGGTCGTCGTGTCCTTCTTTGGATCGCCAAAAGATCCGTCTAGGGACTCGAACGCTGTCTTCATGGCTTGCACAAACTTCTCTTTGATATCCTTGTGTACATAGATGCGGGAACTGGCAGTGCACGCCTGACCGCTGTTGCCGACTATGCCCTGAGTGCACCATTGGACTGCGACTTGGAGGTTCGCATCGGGGAACACTATGCTTGGGCTCTTGCCGCCCAATTCAAGAGTCACTCGCTTCAAGTTTCTCGAGGCTGCCATCTGTGCTATCTTCCCAGTGTTGACGCTGCCGGTGAAGGAAATCTTGTCAACATCCATATGGGAAGCAAGTAAGGCGCCTGTTTCGCTGCCCCTAGAGATGATATTCATAACGCCAGGGGGGAATCCAGCCTCATTCAGCAGCCTGCCAAAGTAGATAGTCGAGACGGGGGTCTTCTCGGATGCTTTCACGACCATGGTATTTCCGGCTGCAAGGCATGGTGCGCCTTTGAATGCGACCATCACTGCTGGACCGTTGAAAGCATTCACAACCGAGCAAACTCCGATGGGCTCGCGACGGATAATCTTTATAAATCCGTTGTCGGGAGGGAATGACTCCCCCTCCAGCTTATCACACAATCCGGTGTAATCTGTAATCGTCATGTTAGCAGAAGCCCAGGAGGTTCTATGGTTGGTTGTCGAGAGAAATTTCCTACATCAGAATGTTTGTGCGGCCATGGGGAGTTCAAAGGCCTTGGAAGGACCATACGGCTTGCCACTGCAGAGTGCCTCCAGTCTACACAATTCATGGGCGTTAGCATCAATCAGACCTGCCAACTTCAGAACTTTCTTGGCTCTTTCCTAAGGAGTCATGATGATCCGAAGAAGCCCAGATAAATCTATCTATAGCCTACAGGATCCAAATAAAAATCTTCTCAGTATATTATCTTTATACTTATTATGGAGTACAAAATTAGTAAACTAAATACTAACATATAAGAATTAATTCTATCTCTCAAATTCAAAAAAAGATATATAGTTGTAGTAAATATATTAGTAGTAATAGTATAGGCGTTAATATTTAATGATGGCGGGATTTTGGTTGGCGAGGCCAGACTTATGAACTAGTACTGTAGCAGCTCTAAGCGAGTTCTTCTACCACTAACGCTAACTTTTTATATTTTTTTAACATCCGTTGCCGTGCAGGTTCCACAACACTCCAAGCACCGAAACTATGTTCTATGAAGCTCTCGCACAAGCCCCACTACTCCGAATTAGTATACACTAGTACCGTCAGCCCAATCAACAGCCGCAAATCTACCGTACGTAACGTTCATTACAGTCCAATTCAAACAATCACCTCTATTCAGAGTACAATTTAGAACGGGTAGGTAAAAAAGACTACTGGAATGAATGCCAACTCTCTTGTTCTCGCTCCCGAGGGGGACGTGATATTGGTCGTGGGTAGGGAGCGATTTCGCATACATGCGGACTCCCTTTTTCTTAAACGGCATTCAACAGTCTTTGCAGCTCTACTTGGCTCAAACTTTCGCGAAGGTCAAGATTTGAATACCTCATCTTCGAAGGAAATTCCTCTGCCTGACGATGATCCGTATGCCATGGCTGTGATCTGTGCAACGATGTACCACGACTTTGGTCACATTCCGCGGAGCCCAGCGACAAAGCTAGTTCTTAGCATAATCCGACATGCGGATAAATAAGATTGCTACGATGTCCTTACCCTACCGTCCCAGGTTTATGGCTGGCTCAAATCCGATCATTTGACTCTTGGAAAAGACCTAGCAAACATTCTCGCTGTGTCCTATATGGTTAGAGATCAGGAAGCGTTCAAAAATGTGTCAAGAGCCTTGGTCTCGAAGTACGAAGGATCATTCGCAGATCTGGCCGATAGTGTGATTTGTGATGTTCTGCCTTGGAAGACATTCTGTAAGTAAACATACAAAAAATTACCTTGTTATACGCTAATTAGTCATAAGCCTAGGCAGATTGGAGGAGCTTCGAACCCGTATACAAACACTAGCAATTAGTGTCGCATTGGGCCCATCAGTGGATAAACCCATAGGCTTCGGGTATGACAAGCATTCCGGATGCTCTCAACTCGCAGGAAGAGTTCAAGAGAATTTCAGTAGGGATCTGTTGATAGAAGCGCGCCAAAGAAAAGAGCGGATCCATAGAGAGCGCTCATATAAAACCTCTTTGCATTCGTCAGCAACTGGACAGTCAGCAGTCGGGCCTTTGCTTACGAATTTACAAGAACTAGCGAAAACCTGTAATAAATGCAGGGAAAGTGTGGAAACTTCCCAGCTGAGTACATTTTGCCTAAGTTTGGCAGGCAATGACCTCCGACAGGTTGCTATGTTACCCGAATGGTACTGGGGCTCGAAATTGACTTATTGAGGAGGGGCTACCAGAAAGATCTGAAGTACCTGGATGTTCATGTGACAGTATCAATTCATCAAAGGCACTGCTCGCAGCCCACGGTTGATTATTTAAATAAACTAAAGTCGTTCTTCAATCTCGCTCCATTGTGGACGACAGTAGAGTTTTCAGTTTTTCACCTTCCGGATTGAAATATTGACATGTTGAGGTTGTGGATCGGAAGGTCTACAGTATTGTGCGATTTCAACTTGGACCAAATAACCACAGGGCTAGAGTTTTAGATAAAGATATACAGGTGTTATTACACAATGTTCTATCCTGTCCCTCAATGCTTACTTTCTCCGCTTCATCACACTATCCCTACCGACACACAACCTCATATAAGAATATATTCAATCACCCTACACATATCCACATATCGTCTTGCTAGGCCATTCACTCAAAACTCCCGCGAACTGCTAATTAGTTACTTCACCATCTTCCCATCTCCCAATCTGTTGATGTGACAAATCTCCCTTACCCATGTTTTGAAGTTTATCTAATAGCGGTCTCACTATGGCTACTCGTAACTCTGCAAATTAGCACAATGATGGAGACGACTTATTGATCAGGGTATTCTCATGGATCTCTTAAAGACCGCCAAGTCATCACTCTTCTTGGATCAAGCTTCGAAGCGTGAGGTTACTATCTCGCCGTCTATTATATCGATAGTTTCTAACAACCTCTTCTAATACTCTACTCCAGATCTACTTCAACTCTTGGTCCAGTATACGTCTTCCTACCGCTTACGAAGTACCATAGGACGGCTAGAAATACAGTCCCACCAAATGTGAGAGAACTGAAGTTCATAGACTGAACAGTGACCATAGCCGTACCTGGCCAGAAGGAGAAAAACCACATGACGAACAAATACACACAAGCAAAAAGGTTGTTGGCTATTCCGAATACTCCAGGGACCTTCCAAGGCCCCCACTGGAGGGTTTCTGGGCCGACCATCACAGCGCGGTCGCTGTAGGGTCTAATGCCCTGGATCCGCCGCCAAAGGAGCAAGGTGCAAACAATGAAGTATGAGGCATATAGGCCACCAATACTAAGATTTACAATGTTGCTGAAAGCGACGACCGAGCCAAGTGCGATGGTAGATAGAAGCATGGAAATTGTAGCTGTTATTCCAATCGTGATAACAGGGATTCGAGTTCGAGGGTGAAGCTTCAGCACGTATTAGCCTCCAGATACGCGGCTGATAGAGGGGTCTTTACCTTTGTTACTTGATCTGAGAAAGGTACAGCATTATCCCTTGCAAAAGACCACAACTGTCGAGAAGTTGCGGCCATGAGGCCAACCAAGCAGCAAACTCCGAGAATCCACATGATCATAGCCATGGTCGCTGCTCCAGCCGGTGATCCTGTGCTCTTCAGAAATACATACAGGTAAGCATATCCAAGCGTCGCAGATTCTTTTATAACATCGTCTAGATTCCCGAGGCAGAACAGATATGCAACGATCATTGCAAATCCCAGACTGCCATTCAGCAGTACGCTAAATTGGATGACTCGCGGGATCACCCTCGTTGCGTTCTTGACTTCTTCCGCTATCTATGTAAATCGTGCTTAGCGAATAGGCCGAACATCAGTTGGATGATTGCTTACGTGAACACATGAGTCGACCCCTAAGTGCGTTAGCTGACATGTCACCTTGTACTATATTTATACATTGATCACTCACCAATAAGGGCGAAAATGGAGGATGGTAGACCAACCATGAAAGATAGCGTCTGAGTTGACCTGTTGAAATGAAAGGACTACGTTAGTTCGTGATCCACATATATCATCGGGGTGGAATAGTTACCAGCCTCCAGAATTGACAAAAGTGGTAAGGATTGAAGCATCGCTGTGATCTCCAAGATAAACCATAGGAATCAAGATGGCGAAGAACCCCAATACGTGGAGAATCAGGATTAATCCTTCGAAATGGGCCAAGGTCTTACTACCGACAGTATTAATTATCACGGCGAAGGCAAGCAATGCCCATCCGATTAGCATTGCTTGGTATGGCTTAGGAGTGTATTCAGGCTTGACTAGCAAGATTGTACTCTGCAAGACAGCTCCACCCAAGTATGCCGACGAGGCAGTCGTAGCCTGCCAACCGATCAATGACACCCATCCAGTGATGAAGCTCATGAATTTACTCCACGATCTCGGTGCCAACAACGCGACCCAGCTGTAGATACGTTAGTGAGTTATGACAATCCGAGTCGCGATAGGGATGCTTACTGATACTGACCACCCGCGGTAGGTGCCATGGACGACAACTCGGACAGGACTGTATAGATTGAGATGGAGCCGATCCATATGAGGATATAGCCCCAGAAGACACCTGCGGGGCCGCCATTCAACAAACTTGGAGTAGAGACTCTGACATGTGGTAAGCAAGCTGCGTTCGGTTCACATTGTAATCCCATGAACTCACTGAAGAATCCCCTCCCAAGTGGCCAAGACCGTGCAAGAGAATCCAAGGATTTGCATGAATCCAAAATTGCGCTTCAACACCGGTTTCTTTCCCAATCGCATGAGATCCCGCTCATCTTGAGTGAAAACCTCATCGCTTGAGGCGACTACTCCAGATTTCATGCGACTTTCGAGTTCCATGACGGCAGCGTGGTTGTGGACGGAAAAAGCTATATGTCGAGGATTCCCTGGAAAGCCCCAAGAGAAATGGCGTTTTATGTATGAACTCTATGCAGGCAGTGCGGCGATCTAGCAGGCTCCTTCCGTTGCTTTTAGGCGAGTTAGTCCCAGTTTACCCTGGTGTTCGCTAAGCGCATTCAGGAAAGTCAGCGAAATCAGCAAAATCAGGTCACAATTGCTGCCACACGGGATGCAGCAAAGCGGGGTCTTTGTATCTTTGGAAACGTATCGCTTGGGCGAACGCCGTCTACAAAGCTTAGCATCGAGCTTAGCATTGTTTCGCACACCAAACCCAGAACATGAGATGAACTTACACGATCCATTCACCATGAAAAAATGAACCATTGCGCCTTTCTCTCCTACACTTAGCATAGAACGGAAAATTAGTTGCGCCGTTGAATTCAAGCGCGACCACTCGGCGGTTTGTCGATTCTTACTCAATTGGAAAACGCTCCCCTGCAGTGCTCCAAACTCTATGCACCGGTTGAAAAAGCCGCGCGAACCCGCCATCCTGGTTGCAATCGTCGACGGGAACTCAAACTTTTAATTAACCGTCATGGTCTCGCCCTCGAGTCAGGTCTGGTATGCGATACCGTATTCTGAAACTAGTGTTCGATCTAAGTGTTGACAATGCGCATACAGATCGCACTACTTAGTTGCTTGTCGCCGATAAAGGCTTTATGAGCTCGAACAACAGGTAAAATACTGTATGCAGCATGCAGCAGGGGTCAATTTCCAATGAAATGGAGAGCGACACATGCATGCCGCGTATGCAGATGTCGTTGCGGCGAAAATGTCACGGCGTAATTAGACGCAGACGGATACGAACAGGGCTATGAAAGATGGCAGTCCCTTGACATCTGCCGAAAGATGCCCCATGCACAGTCGAGACCTGCTGGAGTGGCATGTGTCGGTAGTACAATGCAGTCCGACAAACAGCCACAAGCGTATGTCGCATGCAATCAGGCGGTTCTAGGATTTTTTTAAATGTATCAATCTTTAGCATGGACTGTTCAGCCCAGGGGAGCTAAGTTTCTTATGTAGAGTCAAGTCCTATGAAAACTAGTCTTCGCATACTGACAACATAAGCCACAATAATCGAAAAAAAGAAAGTGGAATATTGTCTCCATGGACGCTGGGAAGACGCCTGCATTCTACGAAGGCCATGCGGCGCCGCTAATCCAAATCCTCGCATGGCTGTTTATGGCCTTTTCAACACTGTCTGTATTGGCACACTTTGCTACGAAGAAGGCTATGTCAAGACCATTCACAACAGCCGACGGGATATTGTCAACCGCGCTTGTAAGTAACTGAGCAAACGTTCAGACGACGTGCATCCTTAGCTTACGTGTTTTAAGATTCTAGACATAGGACAGGCTATCACATTTCTTAGTCCTGCTGGTCAAGCGATTGGAAACTCGCAGTCTGATTATCCAAAAGATACAATTATGCAAGCTTGGAAGGTAAGTCGGTTTTCTGATCAACTAGATGCAATGCTAAGTGTTGCAGGCAATGTATATTGGAGATATGCTCTTTGTGTTCACACTTGTTGCTGCAAAACTTTCGCTATTAGTCCCTTTTACGGCAGTGACACCCGTTGTCAAGCACCGCTTGATGATGTACACAACAAGTGCAGTCACTGTTGTTTGGGGAGTAACCGCTGTGTTTCTGATAGCCTTCCAGTGCCCATCGCCACAAAGATGGGACATTGCAAACCCACAATGTATGAACTTTGTAAGACTCACTTTAAGATGAGATTTTGTTTTGGATGACTGACATGGAACAGCGCAGCATCCGAACATTCAACGCCGTGATGAACATCATTACCGATTTGGCGCTGGCCATAGTACCTACGTTGATGGTAATACCACTGCAAGTTGGATCTGACAGAAAGCTCACTCTTCTAATTGGATTCTGGTGTCGTGTGATGTATGTTCATCTAACTTGATAAGAATATTTGAATGAAATCACTGACAGACGAAACACAAAGTGTCATGGCAGCATCGGCCGTCCAAATCTTTTTCATCTTGGACCTCTCCTTGCAGGACAACAATCTACTCAATACAATCTGGCCCATAGTTGTTAGTGGACAGGTTGTACAAGTCACCAGTATCATGACCTCGACGATACCATTCCTCAAGCCGTTCCTTGTCAGTCTCGAGTCGTCCCTGACCCTCAGCCCGAACAGCGTAGTTCACACCACAACATTGGGTTACAAAACGACAGGGAGTACAGGCCGCCACCCATCGAGCTACATCAAGATTGGGACTCCGAACAGTCAAGGAGCAAGAACCAGCAAGCTTAGCAACATCTGGGTCACGGCAGATTTTGAAGTCAAGGGAGAGCCTAGCATGGAATTATCTGAGCGGAGAGGGAATTGAAGGGCTAATGGACACGGGGGGCTCTAAACTTGACAAGATGGCGTGCACTAGTTGCACCTGTCTACGGTATGTATAATGATAGTCACACACACACAATGAATACTTAAATCAAAATGTCAGCAGACTGGGTTTATGAATAGCGCGTGTGCAGTTTTGATGATGACCTAACACATGCAAGCGCCAACATGCAGAAAAAACGCAGGGTCTGACTATTCACAGGGCAGGACTGAGAACAGACACACACATGTATGTACAGAGACAGCATGTAGCGCGAGACATGGGTCAAAGTGGCGTGATGAACTGATTCTGGGCGGGCGAGCAATGTCTCTGCCGCGCCGGGAGGAGCCAGGGACCCTGCAGTCGACGGGGTGGGTCCATGTGCTGATTGGTCACTAGCCCGCAGTAGGACTAGTCGGCCGTCGTGCCGTCGGCTAAAGGCGAGGCGTACTTTATCTTCTGCCACCCGTCACCCATACTCCTAGTAGCCCCCCCCCCGTCTTCTCCTCTCCCTGCTCGAATGTCATCCAAACGAGATCAAGCCACGCCTTCATCTGTCGGCCGTATCCTTACCTCCAATCCGATTGTCCAATCAACAATGTTAACGCCATAGTCCCGAGTCCAGGCAATCCGTATCTTCTGCACTATACATGTTCGCAACACTTGGTCGCGGCCGCATTCACTCCGAAGTAGCTGGGCAGCCAAGTAGCGGTGAAACGGGTAGGTTCATCGGCGATGCCGCGCCCGTCTTATGGTACTTACTTACTTGGAAAGCTGGGCACAAGATCTCGCCTATCGTATTCCAGATGGGTTTCTTCTCTTGGATTGCGCAGAAACGTTCCGCCATACACGCTACGGTACACTACCATGAGCCAGGAGGCATCATGGCACCCTGTACCATGACAAGCGTCAATACTGCGAGGCTCGTATCGTGTTTTGTGGGTACATGCGCGTGATAATCTGCCCATTCACCATCATTTCCCAACCAAAATTCGTGATTTAACAGTCAAATAAATCTAAGTGTGAGCCGTCGCGCTTGCTATCCGAAGCATATCTGCGCTCAGCATGCGACATGCTATTTCAATCAATTGCGTGATTTTGAATAGCATTATTATAGTTGCTGGATTCTGGTATCAATTTCACATCGCCTTCCACATCGAGCTATTTGGTGTTTTCTTTCGACTAGGCGTTGGAAACAGGCATCTTTGAGCCATTGGTCTACCAGTCTATGAACAAGGCAAAACGTCATATTCCTGCCTTGACAAAACTAGCAGCCTCATGATTTGTTGAAACCGCTCATGTTGCAGTTCAAGCTGATAATCCACCGGGCATTGCGCTTGCCTTCTTCCTCGAGTCACAAAAGCGCGTTGAATTGACGTAATTCGGATTGGCTTTGCCCAGCCGAAGATGTTGCTAGATTTTCTGACATTGTTAGCTCTTCCTTTCCTCCCTATGTCCATTCACTCAACCGCGTTAAGAAAGGCTGACCGTACTAATGCTGGTGCTGCATGTTCTTTGCGCCAAAGTAAACTGTCTCTGTGGGCTCCCTCAATCATGCATTCCAACAAGGCAATGCAACATCGACCTTCTTGTAGCACCAGTGGGCAAATCCTTGTCCAAGAAAGCAACTCGCTCATGCTATCTTCTATAATTTCCAATCGGCTATAAAGTGCATTAGCTCATCCAGACGTTGAATGCACAATTTACTTACCCTCGCACGGCTTGTTTTATAGCTCAATACCAGGAGGAAACTCTATCAGGGTGACGACGAATTTGATTCCGCTTTCTATTGCTCACGACAGAAAGACCTGGAAGTTCCATGAATTTCATTTCATCGCGGTACCCATTAATGTGGTCGATATCTCCCAATGCGACAGCTCAAGTTCAGCCCTACCTAATGAGACCAGTTATGGTCTGGCCAGCAATTCGTTGATTGGGTTATTCCCGCTTCAGAAAACTAACATCTTGTCCGCCATCTCCCTTGTGGGAAGGCGTAAGGCGATTAGTCAACTACGGACGAGTGTATGTGCCTGCAGGACGGGTAAACTCTTGATGCGATTCCTACATGGCACGTCATGAACATGGACATGCGCAATTATTGACGAAAACGGTAAAATGTTGCGTGTGAGTATTTATAGATGAACCAAAAAGCTGTGGAAGGGCCGAAGGTGTCTTAAGGTGTCTTGAAGTATTATCGGCGGCCTTGGAAGCCATACTGCTGATGAAGTTAGCATGAATAACTTTAGAGAACATTCCATATTGTCATTCCAGGCTGATACGCTATGCTGAAGGAGGAACAAAATCCTATTAACCACAATACGTGATTGGAACTGGAGGAAACAAGGTCAGATCAATCACTGGATATCGTCTGCTGGATATATCTGTCTCATAATGCTTAACTAGTTATGTTATTACGCCTGGCTATAAAGCGGGAAGGTATCTTAGAATGTTACTAATCGACTGTCCGTAGATGACGCGCAACGCTAGTCTACAGTGTCACAATGGCACGGTATGAGAAAGGGCACGAAGAATGTATAGGTCAAGAGAGTAGGTTGTATTATTCTGTACCGCAAATCTCCTGCGTCGCAAGGGCTAACAATGAATTTGAGGTGATTTACTAGCTGTTCAGCTGTAGTCTTAGATTCGCGGGTTCTATCTTTTCCATATTGGCCATGGCGGTACATCTTCGCGTTATAGCGCAAGATGGAATTGAGCTAGACGGTAAGAGAATATATCTGCTCAACTAGGCCATATCCAGTAATGTTCTCTTTGCAGAGTGTTCCAGAGACAGTAGCGTAACCTTTGAAGAGTGTTATTGCTGCGCCGAGTTCTTCCAGATATGCCATCTCGCCAGCCTTGTGTGGGAGTTTGACATCGAGGGTAAGGTCAATGGTAGGTATTGTGAGCTGATACTTCGCATACCACGTTAGATTGGTGTCAGCGGAAATCCATGAATCTGATTCATGCACATTGGGATCCATTGCATGCACCTCATGATGGCCATCAGGAAATAACACTGTAGCGAATGACGACACCTTGGGTGTATCGTCAACGGGCTGAGTCCTCCAGCCACCGATCACCCAACCATTTGGCAGGTAGAAATTGAAAAACCACCATCCATTAATCGCACCCCCAGTACCCCACTGACGATCCATCCATGCAAGGGATTTCTCTGGAATCACTGCTACAGTGGTACCGTTCGTGGTGATAGTACCTGTTACCCACAGCTGGGGATATGCGATTTCGTTGGTGTAACCAGTTCCCCACCAATGGACCTAAAGACGAGAGTATCTTGTTAGCAGTTATAATTACTGCGATTAGGGTAGGCTGTGATATTTTCCTACTTATGGGTGACGTATAATTCATATAAAGAACTCAAAGTCACATTAAGAGCAAAGCATAACTTCCACTGGTTTTGTACGTACCCCTGACCCTCCATGATATAGATTAGGTCCTCGTGGCTCGAATGTGAGGTTAAATGTAGCATGGGGATCGCTGCTTTCCGCATGTTGAACAGATACTAAATCTGCTGTACTCGCATATTGCCTGAGTATGCCACTATCGATATCGTACGTCTTGTTCGAGATAACTCCCGGAACGAGATGGTTTCGGCCATAGTACTCTCCCGTTTCAATGTCTAATAGGGAGACGAGGGAATTGGTAGAACCTGGTTTGGCAGCTTTGGAAAGACAAGCAATACTGAAGTATTCATGACCGTTGTCTCCAGACAAATAGGATGCGTACCAGTAGCTCTGGACTGGTTCACCAGATCCAGCCGTCATCGACCTTGTTAAATTGGAGTTTGGGCCATAGATCTGACAACATTTTAGATCTGTTGCTTAGAAAGACACATACAGACTCACTGTATACGCCTCTTGCAAGAGATTCGTATTTGATGGTGGGCGATTAAATCCCAGAGCAGAGCCTGAAATAGTAGTAATTACTAACAAAGATGGTACGATATACATCTTGAACGGTAGTAGTAATGGTCAAATGATGAAGCGTTTGTCCTTTGGATACGCAGATTAATACCATTCGGAATGCGACTTAATGGCATATTATACATGTAGCTGGTAGCTGCAGGATTGGTTATTAGTTATCTGATAACGGCGAGGTTCAGCTCAGCGCTAATAGATCACGTCTTAGCGATGACGTAGAAATTTGACATATTCCTCTCGGGTCGGAAAGAGGCTATCCCCGTGAGGATTTCAATGACATGACAGGACCCATCCCTGTCATGTTGTTCGAGAGCGCTCACGTGATGTTGTTGATATCCCCAGACCGTAAGTTTGAAGCTTCGGCCGAAGCAAGATATATCACGTGGCATATTGCCTATATAACCTACTAGCAGCTCAATGTTCTACTAAGATGCCCAGAACAAACCATTACCCGTCTACAACTCGGAGCTGGGCGGATAATGTTTGAATCGATAGCCATTGCCTTTCGGGGTTCTTCTCTATCCGACCCGAGATGAATAGTTGCATATTCGCGCTTGTACTACAGGTACTTTGGCAGTGAGGCAAGCAAGCACCAAACTCAATATCAATGTAGTATATTACACCGAAGAATACCCGGTTTAAGATAGATATAAAGTAGTCTGTTGCAGATCATTACTGCATGTACAGGCTATAACCAGGCTCGCCGAGTGCTTCATGTGTCGGGCGTAGTCCGACAAAGCCGTGCTTACATATGCTACACTGTAGGAATACATAAGCATGCTAACATAGCTGACGACATGTGCAGTATTAGTTATGAGCCAGAAAGGTGCAGCTACTCTGTAACTAATGCGGCAATCGCGGATTTGAATGCTCAAATCATGTTATCATCGAGTGCATACACATAGATGCAAGGCTTCATTGCATCAACGCATGCTCTACCTACTTAATGTGCATATCTGCCGCGTCCTGATTGGACAGCTAGTAGTATTAGTTAAAGCCAATCCTGCATGCGACTTCCATATCATATTAAAACAATGTAATTACGTTTTCACATGACACACGAAATATATCGATGATCCCGTGTGTGCTAGTCGTATCTTTGTTTGGTGAGTGATTTTTGAGTAAGTCTTAGGGGAAAGATTTCGAAAGAACAAAAGGCAAAACCGCTTGGCCTGATCTAGCCATCCTTAATCGAAACTTTCCTAATCCTGTGAGATCATGGAAACAAAGTACATAGATACTTTGAATCCAGTAACATCTAGCTCTGCGTAAAAGAATGCTGAGAAGCAGGGATCGAGGAGGGGACGGCTATTGGTACTACAACTAATAGCATGGGTAGTTCTGCTAGGGTTACGAGAACGATTATTAGAGGAAACCCGAGTATTGCAGGCGCGGTAAATCCGGAGGCACTAAGACACGATACATTCTACGAATATAGGCCTGCAGATGAGCCGTAAGAGGTGGCAGTAACTATACTGGTGTTTTGGTAAGTCAACTAATATTGACACGTCTGGGCTGCTTACCCTTCGTGTACATTATATTGTGGACCACGCGTTATCAATAGGAACCATAGCGCCGTTGATCATTTGTGATTCGTCTGAGGCGAGAAAGGCGATGCCCCGCGCGACATGATCAACACCTATGTAGGGAACAGGTGTTCCCTCATTATCTTTGGATACGTGAAGCTGCACAATCGGGCTAACAGAGTAAGCCATTGTTATATACATCGAGCGAGAGAGGGCTTACAAAAAGGCATTGAAGCCGGCGGAATCAAAATGCTCCATCTGCACTGAACTTGCAATGTTTGTGGCGACACTTCCTGGCAGCACGCCATTACAGCGAATTCCTTCGTTATGGAATCGCCATGCGACATTTTTGGTAGCACCAACCTACGGACATGTCAGTATTCACTATGCGTGTGAGAAATCTTTACGTACTAGGCCATGTTTGCTAGCCGTATAAGCAATTCCTGCACTCGCGCCAGACATGCCCGCCTTGCTAGCCACATTGACAATAGCACCCTTCTTCTGTGCTTTCATGGCGGGCAGTACTGCCTTCATCATACGAATCGGCACGTTCAAATTAATGGCCATGACTCTTTCCCATTCTTCCTCGTGGATCGTGTCGGCGCTACTCCACCCGTCACTAACGCCTGCGCAGTTGACCAGGACATCAATACGATCATGCTTGCCAATGCATTTTGCCACGGCATGTTCAACGGCTTGAGAATCAGCAAGGTCGGTCTGATAGAAGATAAAAGTCGAAAAGTCCTCGGCGAGCTTCTGGGGCTGTGCACCAATATCTATACCAAAGACAGAAGCTCCACGTTCCAGGAAAAGGCGTGTCGTCGCGAGGCCTATACCAGAACTGCACCCAGTGATTATAGCAACCTTGTCTTGAAGGGAAGCGATAGACATTGCGCGGAATTGAAGCTTTACCAACAAAACTGGACGGTAGGATATGATTTGTACAATATTGGTGCATGTTATATTTGGTGGGAGATGCGCAGCGCCGGAAAATCTAGCATGACGTCAACGGTTAGCGTGATAATCTGGGTTAGGGTTAGATCTACTTGTGTGTCCAAACGCGCAACATAGGTTTATTGGGTATATTCTTCTAAGACTCTACACCTACAATGACTGCTCTGAATCCAATCATACAAATGGAACTCGCCCATGGCTCAAACAACCACCACCCTCAGACTCGGTACACTACACCCTGATGTAATGCTTGTCGATCACGCTACTGAATCACCTCCTCCATGCGATGCACATCGCTGTCCTTGGTCCATCTTCTAATCTTCTTTCCTAGACCATAGTACAGTGGGAATGCGAAAAGAGCCGGGCCAACGGTGCAAGCGAAAATGACCATGGCCGGCGTCATCCACCCACTCTTACTCTCATGTGCTAGATCAAAGACCCAATAGCTATATGAGAAGGCAATGAAGTTCTTGCATACAGTCGCCACCACCATGATTTCGCCAGAGATGGGTTTATAGCAGTCGATTGCATAAGCGATGCAAATAGTAGGCACCGTGGTGACGCTAAGTCCGGCGAAGCCATAGCCCCACACAACAATGTGGCCCCATGCCCATTGGTGCTGGTACGCGAGGCCTCCGAGGATCAAAGAGAGCATGGTGATGATCATGTAAAACCAAAGTGCAGGAAGACGCATCTCTGCTTCGCGCACACCACCGTTCTTGCGAGTCGCCCGAGCAGCCACCCAATCTGAATACGGGCCTGCTGTCGCTAGACCCACCAGCGCACCGATGGCGAAGGCGAAGTTCGTGTAGCCAACTTGGTCGGGTCGGAAGAGGTAGGGTGGCGCCGCAAGGATCGGAGACTCGGTGATGTTGAAAAAGAGAAGAAGATCAGCCGGACCGGCCAGCATCAACCCAGCCCATAGGATAATAGGGTTGAAGAAAACCTTAATAGGAGTCCATGTATCGCGCACAACAAACATCCTCCATCTGGGGTCGGGCTTCCGGAACGGCATGAATTGTGCACGAGACGGGCGGCCATTCGCCATTACAGAAACATCCGACGTATCCTGGCCCAAGTCGTTGGCTGTAGTAAGCGTGGCTTGTTTTTCGAGCTGACTGTCGTCTTCGCTGTTGCGCTCGTTTTCCTTGGCTTGTACGGGACTATTGGTTGCGACGGCATTGCTGCCACGATAGTACTTTGTTTCTGGGAAGGTGAATGCAATAAGAATGATTGAGACACCTGAGAGTGCTGTCTCGAGCCAGAAGAACGATTGCCAGCCATAATGACCTCCAATAGCGCCAGCCATAATAGGACCAAGGAAGGCTCCCATGAAATATCCAGTGCTTTATCAATGTTAGGAGTTTCTCATGCATCTCACAGCCGCCCTTGTACTTACAAGTAAACACCGGTCCACAGGCCTCGTTCGTGCAGATAAAAGACATCAGCAATCATCTGAACGGGAATGCTCTCGCTAGTCGCACACACTAGACCATTCACCGCCCTAGCTGCCAGGAGACTGCTATGGCTCGTCGCTAGCGCCTGCCACACGCATGTCAAAAGAATCAGCACAGAAAACACCAGACTAATGGCGCGACGTCCGAAGATGTTGGACAGTGGCACGATGATGAAGTTTGCGAAGCCCAGCGTAATGACAGTTATACCAGTCAACATGGCTAACTGATTGTTGTTCAAGTGAAACTGTGCACCCAGCAGTGGGAACATTGGGGCTATGGATAGCGCACCAGTTACAGATATCCACGTAAAGAGCCATTGAGAGGCCATCACCATCACTATGATCTGTCAGTATGGCGATGATAGTTCATGTTTCTGCAAAACATACTCTTCCATTTACGGCTCCAATTGAGGGGATCTCGTGGATCAGATGACGGCTTCGGAATGAGTTGTTTCTCCACCGAACCATCATTGTTCATGATCTCAGTGCCAGGAACGAGTTCGACATTATCAGGGTTAGCAGCCATCTTTTTACAGTTGGTATTGATAGACGATAGAAGTTGAGGTTGATCTGAGATTGATGGAGTGGAGAGAACATTTATGTAGTCTCCGGGTGCATTGTGGCATTCACACCAATGGTGCTCAAGATTCTGCCGATGGTGCACTCCAAGTCCGCGTCGGAGAATGCGTCGATGCGAGGACAATGATTGGAACAAGATCTGCAGTGGGAAACTTTGATCATCGTCCCAGTTCTGTGAACTGGTTGGTTGCTCTTCTAACACTATCAGTTCAAGTTGCACTAAGCAAAGACTGCAGTGATGCGTCTGGCTCGCACCTCCGTAGTGCATCGCTGACCCTTGCAAAATTTCCATTCACGATGCATTTTCAGTCTTGGCAATAGTTGGTGGAGGCCTGGATAACGCGGTTACCATGTTTGGGATCTTTTGATAGCAAGGCCTACACCACAGTATACCACACAATTTCGAGATTCCTGGAGGTGGGACATGCATGGCGGTGTGTACAACGCTGACCTCTATGGAAAAGCATCGATAAGTGCGGAGCGTGTCAGCAGCTCTTCCTTGCATTGATCCAAGGAACATGATGGCGACAGCTTCAGACTATCACCTTACAAGCGCATCAAAATTATCTGGTTGTTCTCTCCAGATCCGGAGTTCCGGGATATGCGAAAGCTGGATTATGGAGTCGACCCTTGGATAGCAGAGGAGCGAGCATGCACCACTTCGCAAAGATGGCGCTGCGATAGACCTGAGGCTTGACTACTCTCGGGTTTGAAAGTGGAGACCCACGTCTGTGCTAGCGACGGGCGCCGTCCGGGATCGCGCGTCGGAACTGCGGGGAGGCGTGCTGACAGCAATGCACCATCGTCAGCCCTGGATGGACACGATGACGAGAATTGCGTCTCCAAACCCCCTCGCACTTTTTTCGATTCTGGATTCTGCAAATTTCCTATTCTGGTGAAAATTATAATCGTCCTATACAGGTGTACTGTGCGCCGATGGCCATCACTATGAGTGAGCTGAAGACAAGGCGCGACCAGAACCAGCATCGCAAGTGTTGAACTTGCCAGATAAGAGAAAGCTTCATCAATCTCTTATTCAACGGTGGTACCTGGAAGAAGAAATATGCGGATAACGCCTGCATGATTGAGTGTCGGTGAGAGACGATCTCCATGAGCCTACCCTGCAGACCCAAGGGTTTGTCGGAGCCATGATATCCAAGAATTGAAGCTCTTATTTGAGAATTTTAAAATGTCTGGTTTTACTATATGCTAGTGTCTTTTGGCGTACGCATTTTTGCCTGTATCAGTAGAGTCGCACACGTTTGAGGACTCTACTTGGACTGGTGCCTGATCCTGAAACCAACACATATATTGGATAGCTTAGCAAATGAATCATAAAGATAAAGCGACGGTCATATTATTAAGGCTTTGCTACATTTTATAGTACCTTTTCGGTGCGTATTTGATGAATGTGATAGCGCCGCCGTCCGCACCGGACTTCTGTTGACCACATCTTTTCGGGAACAACCCAGAATGCCTGGATGCAAAACTGGTATCAATTGGTTTGATCGGCAATCCAACAACTTGGCCAATTGTGATCCTATTGCTTACCGATCTTTCGATCGTTTCAGACTAATATCTTCTTTTGCTAGAGATAAGCCAGGGAACAAGATACAACATGCCTAAATTGTGCAATCACTAGGCTCACAGCGGGTCCAAGAATTATACGGGTGAAGAACATAGATGCTGATCAGGAACCAAAACATAATAGCGCCAATTCAGTACCAAAGAAGCGAAAGGTTGCTGAACTATGTCCAATCTGGAAGTGGGGGCGCCCTCATTCCTTTACACACTCACATACACCGGTGTCGGCATTACATGTATATTACAACGTTTGATATGCCTTCGCAGCTGCAGATGTTGTATCGTTTTGAACAGCATTGCGATACTTGTTCGAATATGATATTCAGGTTGCCGAAAGTGAAGAGGACAATGCAAAATTCTAACTAGATCTAGCTCGAGGTTGAAACCGTAGCAGATTGCTAATGAACGCGGTGCTAGAAATAAACAAATATAGCTCCTGCGCAGTAAGACGTATGTAGTGAATAGCGTTCAACACTAGCATCAGAGTGCACAATCCAAGAATTCAGTGACTGTCTGATGTTTCCAGCAAGACGACAAAGACCGTCTGTCAAGCTGTACTTGCAGAGCAAGATTGTTCGCTTCGGAGAACCTCATGTGATAGAGAAAAACTGCTTTCGTCGTGAGATGCGCTGCGATTATCTCTGCACAGTGCAACAGTATCTCACGTCTATAGGTCTGCTCCATATCGCTAGGACAGCTAGTCCCCGAAGCCACTATCTTCCGTTTCTCTGCTATCCTCTCAAGTCGCTTCTCTTACAACTCAACCTCTTCACTTTGTGTGACAATGTGGTAATCGACAAAAGAGCATGGTACCTCTCTGATCGTCGATATCACTGTACACTCCATTTATTGATCCGGATAAGGGTGCTCTTGTCAACTGATCGTTTTTTTTCGAAGAGCCCCATTTTCAGAAAGGCTCCCCAGATGCTCCATAGTATGTACAGTATCCGCCTTGCTGGTCGTTTTTTCGGCAGTTGATACCGAGCCTATCCGCAGCACGCCACGCTCGAGACACCAAAGGCCGCGTGGTTGTATGGAGCAAGATGCGAAGCGAAAGCTTAATAGAGCTTATTTATGACAATCTTGAAGCAACTGCCGATTCGCTGCATAGATTGAACATTTATCCAGACAAAACGTGGAGATGATCAAGCCCCGTCTCTGACGATCACTCATGGAAGAATAAAACGGTTCATCAATGGACATGACATTATTGGTACACTTGCTAATTATCAAATGAATTTTCATCTTTGCTTTATACAAGGTGACATTCATATCATAGCTAACGAAATCCAGGAGTTTAGCATGAGCTTAAAAGGTCTATATGTTCATAATATGTTTTCTCATTCTATCCCAGCAACTTCTTTCTGAAAGCTGTTACGATGTTTTGGCCTAGATTTGCGACCGTCCCGCTCCTGGCACAATGTGTCTTATCCCAGAACATGCTACGGTTCGCATGTTCGCAGCTGACTGTCGAACGAGCGGATCCACTTGTGACTCCCGGGCAGCGGCCCTCACCGCATACCCATCAGATTATTGGAGGGAACTCTTTCAATCTCACCGTATGATTCTTTCATTCATTCCATGGCACTGACTGACATTTTCAGATGGAGCCCGGCGTGTTTGATCCACCTACTCGCTCCACATGCACATCTTGCACCTACAGTGAAGACTTCAGCAACTATTGGACTGCGTCGCTATACTTTCGGTCACCTGATAATGGTACTTTTCAGCGAGTGCCTCAATTCGCCAATGTCGGGCTCCAGCAGGATGGCGGAATGACGGTCTATTACATGCCGTATTCGGCGAAGAATAACAAGATGACAGCCTTCAGGCCTGGGTTTCGCATGATCGCCGGCGACCCTATGGCCAAAAGGCCAAATCGTGTTAGTATCTGTCATCGATGTTTGGGCAACGGGGAAGGGTTTGCTCCATGCGACGCGAAAGACACTGCAGAGCTTCCGAACAAGTACTGCCCGGGTGGTATTCGGGCGACAGTGATCTTTCCATCGTGCTGGGACGGTAAGAACCTCGACTCGCCCGATCACAAGAGCCACGTTGCATACTCGAATAGCGGTGGCCTCGGGTCACCGAATTGCCCTAGTACACACCCAGTTGCTATTCCGCAAGTCATGTACGAGATCATGTGGGATACTGGGCGATACAAAAACAACGCATGGTATGGCAATGGTAAACAGCCGTTTGTATATAGCTTTGGAGATGGGTAAGTGTTATCCAGTAACATCTTCAACATTCACTAAACATGTGCAGTACCGGTTATGGCCAGCACGGCGACTATCTCTTCGGTTGGAAAGACGACTCTTTACAGAGGGCTATGGATGCTCTTCCGAGTGGCAAGTGTGCTAACGCCAATTGCCAAGTTCTGAAAATACAGCCTGCTCAAGATTCGATGAAGTGCAAGAAATCGCAACAAGTGGTTGAGGATGTCGGTGTGGGCGGAAATTGGTTGAAGGAGCTCCCGGGTGGTATGCCGGTTACCTACTAAATCACGAACATGGGCAAAGTAAAGTGTTATTTAGACTGTCGTTATTCCGATTGCTTACAGTATGTACGAATTTTATCCAAATAGCATCGGGTAGGGTGCAGCCAAGTTTGTGCTGATTCGAATATTGCTTTCGCATCTGCCGAAACGTGATAGCTGCGTAATTGGTCCGGAGATAATTGTTGTGGAAAACAAGGTTGAACAACAGAGCAAGGGGCATATCGGCAGCTTCGTACGAACCAAAATAACTGTCCATGGGACATCCTCGGCATTTGTGATAGCAATATCGTTGGTGGCGCATCTGGCGCTCTCGGTAGTTTCGACATGGCTTGCCCTGCCGAGAATGACGTGCATCGCCCAGAGTTTGATATTCAGATGTACTCCCGGCTTCTGTAAGAGAAATCGACGAGTCTGACAACAAAGGCTTGAGTGTGCTGAAAATGATTTAGGGTGGGCTCAAAAAGGAATTCATCTTACAAGGATCCCATTGCAAGCTCGCTACCTACCCTGTAAATTTACTCACCGTGGAGAATATACGCTGTATGTCATATAGCAGTACCCTTGATTCAAGTCCAACACGCGTATGTATGTAGGGTCTACCAGGCCATGACTACACCTAGAGACGGTGTCATTTTCGCGACGTTCATGACAGCGTGCCATGCAATAAATGTCATGGGCTTTGCATACCCGGGTCTTTGATGCCAAATGGACACTGGTAGAGCGTGCGATAGCTTCCTTTAACCGTGGACGGAAACATTGCCAAATTCTGATTTCCGACTTTTGATGGAGTTATGTGTACGGGGTTGATTGTTTGCCATGAGAAATCCAAGACTCTCATACTGCCAAGCTACCCCTCACTCACCCCATCTGTCCTCAACGGCTTCTTTTCGACCCACAACGACTCCGAGGTCCCGAGCCGTCACCCGCTGCAGCCGTAGATCCCATGATTTGAGGAAAATAGCTGTGCCGCATCGGTGCCGGCTTACTCGAAATAGAACAGCGCTCACAACAGTACGATTGTACTTTAGTACTATTTACTTACACGCGGTACTACTTAGTGCTCGGCGGGCAACGTTCGTCTTGATGCACGACAACTTGTGCCACGTATCGGGAAATTGCAAGTCGTACCAAAGGCCAACTTTCGACCTGCAATTGTTCTCTGGACCGGGAAGCATTAACGTCTGACTGCCTACCTATACAACGCAGAAATATGGCGTCTTCAAAGACCGGCACGTTTGCCAACCCGGTTCTTCCGGGCTTCAATCCCGATCCATCAGTCATTCGGGCCGGGAATGACTTCTTTTGTGTTACATCCTCGTTTGAGTATTTCCCTGGGGTGCCAATTTACCACAGCAAAGACCTCATCAAATGGGTCTTAATCGGCCATGCTCTTACGCGCAAGTCGCAGCTTGATATCAAGACCCCCGAACCTGGAGGTGGGGTTTGGGCAACAACTATTCGGTACCATAACGGCGAGTTTTACATAATTACCAATTCTTTCGACCGGTATCGTCCGCAAATCGATGATCGCGTATGGCCTCGGGGCTTTTACGTGAAAACCAGCAACATCTGGAATGACAGTAGCTGGTCAGATCCAGTATATTTTGATCAAGTCGGCTTCGACTTTGACCTCTTCTGGGATGATGATGGAGTGGTATACTTGTCATCCTGTTATCGCAAGATTGATCGCTCTCCGGATCCCAAGATACGAGATTTTGCTGTTCACATATCCACGGTCGATCTCAAGTCTGGAACTTTGACATCCAGACCACGGATGATTCGCGATTCCGCTTCCGGTTTCGCCGAAGGCTCCCATCTCTTCAAGCGCAACGGCTACTACTACTTGTTCACTGCTGAAGGAGGTACTGAGTCTGGGCACTGCGAGTATGTAACCCGAAGCCGAGAAGGTCCTTTCGGGCCGTGGGAAGCAGCGCCGCACAACCCATTATGGCGCAATACAACAGATGATGATATCCAAAACACTGGGCACTGCGACGTGGTTGAGGATTCCCAGGGTCAGTGGTGGGCTATGTGTCTAGGTGTGCGACCCAGGAGAGAAGGTAGCTCATGGCGAACCTCGGTCTTCGGGCGCGAATCGATGCTGCTTCCGGTTCGCTGGGAGAATGACTGGCCAATATTCAACGAAGGCAAGGCGGTTGCATTGCGAATGGAGGCGCCAAATGGCTACGTCGTCGAGGATGACAAGAGATGGAGAGACGACTTTACGGGAATCAAGTTAGGGCTGGGTTGGTATAGAAAAAGTAAGGGGACTTATTCATCACTATTTTTAACTAGGGTACGGTCACTAAAACCGCACAGATACCCCGGTGAGACAGGACTTCTCGATGACAGCCCGCTCAAATGAGCTCACGCTGTATGGTGGCCCATATACCTTGTCGATGCCTGCTTGCCCGACACTTTTCCTACGGAAGCAAAAGCATTGGCCTGTTATTTGGGAAACCCAACTAGATTTTCAGCCTGAAGCAAGACGCGTCGAGGCAGGGACTGTCGTTTGGTGGAACCATACGTGCTACGCCAGCATAGGGATTACACTTGTCGAGCGCGATGGACGGCTGCAACGAGCCGTCCGATTGACTGACCCAGACAAGGAAGTTAAGGAGGCAGTCATATCAGAGCAAGGTGCAGTAAAATTGATCATTGAAAGCACTGAGACTAGCTATCGATTGGGATATCGAGATGTCAATCATGACGCACACGAAGCGAATGAGAGCTGGACCTGGCTGGGCAACATTGACACCCAGGTCATGACGCGCGCCCCTGAGGTTGGACAGCCTTTTACAGGTATGATGATGGGGCTGTACTCTTTTGGTGAGATGCAGCCTGTTCTGAGTCCAGCGCATTTCGCGTATGCAGAGTTTCGATAGTTGCATTACTGTAGTATAGCCTGGTATCGATTTCAGTGAACATGGTAAATACGATACCGAGACACGCAGGGAAAAGCTTTGGGGATTGATGATACTTATACCAAACATACTATGCTCGTGCTATTTTTTCAAAAAGGTAGCAGCTAGAACTCACTTGGTCTTTTGTGTTACTTCGGATGTGCCCAATTTGAATCCTTCGAGCATATAAAACTTGCAATCTGACTCGAGACGATACGAACCATCATAGCTGCGTTGGACGCGTCATGGTTGAAGGGTTCCGTACAAGGCCGGGTAGGAGTTCTTAGTAAGACAATTCCCTGTAGAAATCGGGTCCGTACCTTGTTTCCAAGCCACATATGCATGAGCCCTTGCTCATATAGATAAATGGAAAACACGCAACTATTCCGAGCATTTAACTGGGTGGCGATATGCAACATCAAGATTCTGCACAATTCACCTTTTTTTCATAGTCACAAGATGTGCGGCCCACCACACTTTTGATGTTGATAAGAGACCGACGAGTTTGATCGCTAATGCACCATCCATCCCCTTCGGAGAAAAAAAGATGAGCAGACTTGATCCCTCGTGTATCATGTATCTCCTTGGAGTAAAGAGTAAACGCACTTGACCAAAGTCTCCTATCCGAAGATTGATCTGCAGGTGTTATCGATACTGAGGGCGTCGCAAAGATCTTCATCATTTACCAGAAGTGTATGACCTTAGGCCAACCATGTGGCTGTATCGCTTCCAACTGAGAAAAAAGAAGAATAAACATCTAGACGTCGGTTGCCATGTAACAATTAAGGTTCGCATCCGCTCCACAAGCCTAATGTCAGCCTCGGGAATGCCGGTCGCAGCATCGCACCTCGGAACAACGAGGTCTTAGTGGTCGATCATAATAGAGATCGGGAATAGGCATGAGATCCACTCACAATACCTCAGAAACACACGGGGACAGGCGATTTCTCTAATAAGACTGGCCCTGTAACATCTGGATCATGAGGCGGACATATCGGTCCGATAGCAATAGATAAGGCGGGCTTGGGCATTCGTCCAGAACTGAGGGATTTGGCACGGGGAAAAAGGGGGGGACAGGATGCCACGGCACCGCGCCACGCACTCATCATCGGGCCTTTGGTGGGCGTGTGGCATGATGCCAATGTTTGTGGCTATTGCAACGGATCGAGAGTGATGCAATTTCACCAGCTGTCAATAACTATGCGATAAATGGCCACAAGTCGGGACGCAGGTCAATATTGGTGTGTGGCGCAAGCTGGTGATTAGCTGCAACGTCATTCAACAAGATGAGGTTAAAGTTTTCAAAGAAGCTGCTAGGGTCAAGAGCTTAGGGATACGACTGGCAGGTGCTTGTCCATGACAGTGGTAGATGCTTAGGCGAGAGTGGTCCGCCGGGGACCGATAGATATCGGGCCTTTTTTACCACTGATGGCGCAAGCGTTCCGCGCCAATAAGGCGGGCCGGAGCTAGATCAAGATGGGCCTAGAACTACTTAGTGTCCTACACAGAAAGTGTTGTAAGCAACCAGGCATGCACAGACAACGGATGTTGCCTACATGCGTACTTACTTATAGATTGGAGGTTCAGATTGCCGAATCGTGCAAGGGCCATTACAGGGAAGGAATTCCTGACGTATAATAACGGAGAGAATGAGCCGGGTATCGGAAAGTTGTGGAAAACAAATGGAGCGATAGGAATGTGGAGGACAGCAATGTGGAGCAAGGAGAATGCGGATTAAATTATTATGCCCTAGCTATAGGTCTACTACTGCACAGGGGTTTCAGTGTCGTACGAGGTCTTTCTGGCTCTCGCTATCGCTGACCCTCGAGCTGTCGTCATAGTGCTGCTCAATGTGTCGAGAAACGTAAATGTTTTTGCCCAAGATGTTGTCATCGCTGGACTTTTCTGGGCGAGCCACGTGGGAGGACGAACCCAACTCAATGTCACCAGCGCCGGCATGCCTCGCTGTGCTTCTGATGCCGTGAGACATGCTTTTGGATTTGCCTAGTCCACCCGTTCCCAGCCCATAGCTATTGCTGCCACCGCGCGATGAGAAGCCGGGTAGGACCTTGACCATGAGTGGTTTGAGTGCTGGTAGCGATGCACATACAATGGCCAGGTTCATTTCGATTGAGGACCAGTACGCTACTGGTGCACTGTAGTAGGTAGAGTCTCGTTGGTTTGAGACAAGAACAGTGAGTGCGTGGAGGCGAAGGAAGGATACCAAGCACACGAACCATCCAATTGTCAAAATTGCGATGAGGGCTATCTTCGGGCGTTTGGCGATTTGTAGGTTCCAGATGACCTTTACAGGAAGGAAGGCCACAAGAAGATCGGTGAGGATGTTTATGGCGGCATTGAGGAACCAGATGCTATTTGGACCTTGTCAGCAGAGGACACGGATAATGCGACACTTTTTAGCTTACGTTAGGTAGTCTATACATGAGGATTCCAGCGGTTCACCCACTTTGGGAGGAATGGGTTCGCATGTATACATTGCTACGACGACCATAGCAACTCCCCATACTATACACAATACCATGATAATGTAGAGTGGTATGCGCATCTTGCGTACGGTGAAGATTCGGCCGTATTGAAGCAGGATGGATACCTTTGTAAAGGTAAGGCTGAGGTTATAAAAGATGATGCTATAAAGCAGGTACTGCTGATCGTTAGCAAACGGATATGCGTGAAAACTGTGCTCCAGTCGTACCTTGAGGATTGGCCGGAACCCTTCAGGAAAGTCGATGAAGATTGCATGCTTGCCATTGCCTGCGTCGGCCTCTACAATGAGTTAGTGGGACTATCTTCTATAAACTTTACATGGTGGCTTACGAAGAATCTGGAAAACGCATACGGCAGTAGACATTGCCTAAGTAATATGAGTCGGGTATTCAAACGTGTCAGTGTCGATGAGGCTCACCAAAGACATCACTATTGCATAATCCTAAAACAAAAAGCGTTAAAATAAATCCGTGGCGAGGAATTTTTGGGTAGATAATTACCTCCCAACCGAGTTGCAGTCCGATGTAGCGCAAACGAGTGAACAGTCGTAGGCTTACGGCAACATAGGAAAGTACCGTGAAAGCAATGACAATGGACTTTGTGAGAGGACCTCTGTCCTCCCGGGCCAGGGCGGCCAACTGGTCAGCGGTCAGTTGGTCCATGGTGCTTGCGAATAATGGATCTAGCGACACGGATATGGCCAAGTTATTAATACAAGAAGTCGAAAAGACGAGACCCTGAGGGGCGCCTCTTCACATGGGACCAGGAGTAGTTTGTCTTGGACTGTGTGGCGTTACAGACATGAGGGATGGGATCGAGGTACCTGGCCCACAGGCTTCGGAGGCTAATACGCCCACAACCCGACATGCCGCCAGTGGCACGCGAAACTCTAGCCCTGACAATTGTGAGGAGGCGATCTGATGGAGGTGTGCCTGATGGCTGAGCTAGAATTAGTGCGTGCTGCGAATGCTAGAAGACCAATCATAGCGCATGTCACACAGAGAGCACTGGCAAGTATGCGCCATGCCGTTGCTGAAACTGGCAATCTGTCCAGGGCAGCAGTGAACAAAGTGATATGCGTAGTATAGCCGTGCATCAGTTGCAAATCCGGCGGCCAGCGTGATGAGCTTGGATGCAATGCAGGGCACTTGAGGTGGTATCCCGGCAGCCGATGCAGATCCGACAAGTACAGTGATATGGTATGGGTGCAGATGTACCAGCTGCCTCGGCCCATTCACAGTGACAAGAAGCACGATCAACTGGAGTTTTCCGGGTTGGGGATCCAATAAAGTTTTGTCCAACAGTTCCCTGCGGCCAGCTAGCTATCGACTAGCAGCCGGATCTGCGGCTTGGACCCAGTCGTCCATGCTTCCGCCCGTGATGCAAAGCGCTTTGTCCGTCGGGTCGCGGGATAACGAAGGCCTTTTCCGCACGAGTAATTGAAGACTGAAATTGGCGTCGTAGAAGAGTCCCATGTTCGTCTGGGGTAGAACAGTGGATTTTGCAGCAACGGTCAGCTGTTTGCATATTTAGTGGGCTCTTGTCGTATTCATCGCGTCGTCGGCCCCTGGCTGAAGGGACTGGGGCTCTTCTGCAGCTACCGGCGTGAATTTCTGCATGTCGGTCATCACCTTTGTTCATGAGACTGCAAGAGAGCTGGCCAAGCATATGTAAGTGGTATGGAGTGCGTGGCTTGGGGCCGAGCGACGCGTCCACGTGCATTGCGCAACCTGTGTGTGTAGTGTAGTACCCAGTCCCAGTAGCTCGGACAAACGCTGTCGATCTCGCCGGAATGGGGAAGGAGAGTTGGCACATCTGCAAGACACACCAACCCGTCCCTCCAAAGCTCCAACTACTTACTTACGGCCGAAAGCTTAACACACCTTCTCCATACATACGTGCGTCTACGAATCGCTAGGTCACGGAGTACCACACATATCTGATAGCCTGGTTGCTTGTAACTTGTAGCTATAGGGGAAGCCGGTGCTAGACGTTGCTCACCAACAGCTTCGGCTAGGACAGAGTTTGCACTACACCCAAGCCATATCCCCACACCCAGCACGGCATTACCAACCCGACTGCTAGAGCAGGCGTTGAACCCAACCTTGGGGCCTAAAAGCTCATCAGCTCGTGCCAAAATGGTCTGTGTAGAGGATAACTTGCTTTTTCCTCGTACATCTACTAAGCTAAAGACACTCGAACATCAGCTCACAGAATACCTGGGTCGCTTACAATACTCTTGGAAGATGACGAACACAGCCTCGCGTGCCATCTAGAAGGCTCAGCAACGTTCGATGAGGCTTGACCGATCAGAATGACAAGTGCGAAGGAGATTACAGCGGCTAGTGCGCCAGGAGTGTGTTGTTAGCTCCGAGAAGGTTTGGCCCCGTCGAGGCAGCTAGCATGGCATGCAAAGCTACCGCAAGGCGTTCTGTGTATCACACTCTCTTTAGCCATAGCAACAGCGGCACATACAGCAATAACCGTCGATTAAGCTTTTCCTCTAAACAAGGCCAGGGTATTCGTCTGATACATCTGAGAAGAGGGCGGCGTCGTTGGCATTTTCGCTGGTTTTCTCAAAGTCGTGCTAAGCGTTGGCAAAGAGGCACCACCATCTAACCATTGCCTCGACTCAAGCCACCTTGAGCTGAGATGCTAAGACGATCGCAAGCCCTTACACCTTCAACAAACAAAACTCCAATTACCGCAAGACACACCTACCATAGGTGCTGTACCAGTGAGTGGGTGGCCAGGCCACCAAGTTGATAGTATACGAGTACAGGAAGACCGATGGGCAACTACACAATAGCCTAGACGCCCGCCATTGCAATTTGCTTTTTCCGTGTCCCCCTTCAACTAATCCTTTTAACCCTTGCTTAGGCATCTACCCTCTGCATCAGTGTCTAGCTACCGGCCATGCCTCCGTACAAATGACGTACAAGAACCACTGAACATCAGGCGCCCGCCAAATCATTCTAGCGCATCTTCCTGGGATTCTAGGCCTTGAATTAGCGTATGGGAAACCCTCGCTATCCAGTTCAGCCCCCGAACTTTGCTTCCATAACTATTAGCAGCAGTGCTGTCGGGACTATTGGCTCGTGTCTCAGATAGACCATCCCATCCGTTCTTGTCCGCCTCGCGAAACCCCCTAATTTAACTGGACGAGTGGACTGTTTTCTATGATCTCCAAGTGTGGGGAAAGGAGATCGACAGGCACAACGGTACTGTTGTCGAAATTAGAGTTCTGCTCTTGGGGTCAGGCTAGAAGATTTGGAGCAACGGGTACCTGAGGATGTCACTGGACACCGTTCAACACGCTGCTCCAATATTTTTGGTCACTCGAGAGTACAGTACATAGTTTCGCTTCTGAGCTGCTGAGTCGGCATCAAGCAAACTCTGCATGGCACACAACGTCAGCAACACCCCCTATCGACTCCGGATTGAGCAGAGAGGACACATAGCTATCACAACTTGTTTCACTATCTGCTTCCCCTTTCTATCATTGTTCTCTTTCTTCAGGCCTACCATATTTCACTTGAAACATGGCGATGATAGCATCCGTTCGTGAAGAGGTGGCTCTTTTGCCGCACTCCACTGATAAGGGAGGGGGAGTTTACCCGTTATTGACCGGCTCTCATGTCTGAGCTACTCATGCATTGCATGTATAAATTGCTGAGGCTTCTAGCACTGCACATAAAAAGTTTCCTCGCTGTGACAGAGAACTCGGCGTGGACGACGAGGAATCTCTCATTGAGACTATATAATGACTTTTCTTGTAATAGACCTTGGTTCCTTTATATACGTCCTCTTTTGCTTCGTATTCCAAGAGACCACTTGTTGGCAATCACTCGGAAAATGCCCAAGAGACTTTCTTCTTGGCTCACCCAAACCTAACCTTCTGGTCTAGACCTTGCCGTTGCCAAGTAGTGGCCATTGCTCAGTGCTGTAAGATCCGTTTTTGGCGGAAAGACCGAATAATGACGTGGGACGAGTTCAAAGTTTGAACTGGACATGTGTCACTGAATCCACGGGGATCAATGTTGTATTTCCTCAACTCTGGGTTCTCATTGAATACCCTTCATTTTTCTCTTGTTCGTCCATGTCAACAGGATCAGCATAATACTAATTACGATAGCAGGAAAACGTCTGTATCCATCGGAAAATAGTTGATTTAGTTATCATATTCAATAGAGGTGGGCCTAATGGACATATACTCGTTACGAGGTGTACATATTCTTGGTAGTATTATCAATCAATCTTTCAGGGTTTAAAAGCAGGGCCTTGCTGGAATTTCTTATTCGAATCCTTCCACTTTAGCTTCAAGGTCTTTTTTTCGATCCCCGATTCTGGCAGGCTGCAGTGTGACTTGTCATTCGTTTCTAAGATAGTCAATCCGATACGCCGTACAGCAAACACATATAACCAATTCAAGTCATACATTGGAAACAACGAATTTGTTTAAGAGAAGCGGCATATACCCACCGCATTATCCTGTGGAGTGAGGCAAGGATCCTTTTTTGCTCGGTACCAAACGATGATAACCAACCATTGCCCGTATGAAGCTTCTACACTAAGATTCTCACATTGCAAATGAAACTACAGGTGCTATTTTCATACAAGAATCCATGCAGAACCCAAAATATGGGGCTCTGGCACCGCTTCTAACACTCACCAATGCGTCCTGTTTCTTGCAACCACTCCCTATACCTATGTGCTACCAATGATTTCGATCTGCTCTAACACATGTCATGTTTCATGCATTCTCCTAAGATTCTCAACCAAATATTCAGCCTCAACGCTTTCTTTCAAAGTTTCTCGCCTCCATCCTATCCACGCTCCTTATCTGATGCCAAGACGTCATCGGCGCCACCGGTCTATTCTTGCTCAGTTTTTGGATGCTACATGTAGTTTTCTGGTCCCTGCTCCAGCTCAAACACTTATCGATGCTACGTTATTCGAATGCCAGGTGAGCTACCATTAGTGCTACAACGTCTTGTCAATGCTGTGTCAAGTGTCAATGGAATAAGTGTGCACGGCCGTCGAAAGCAACAACATCCTTGTAGTAAGTTCTCACGATCCTTATCTATCTACTAAACTCAACAGATTACGTATATGGGCACAGGCTAACCAATGGAATTGTACAAGTGTCAGATCAGCGGACCTTTTGAAAACTACTCTTTTGACACCTGGATCAGATAGCGGGTAAAGAGACAGCATGAAGAAGCGTAAGGCTGATGGACGGAAACGGTCGGCAAACCTAAAACAGCCGACAGAAAGGATCCACCCCGTAGCCGCCTCGCATTATATTTTTCCAGTCTTTCATCCAGTCAGATTTAATTCCTATACTCTGCGAATGTCCACAATGAGCGTCGTAGCGCGGAGCGGTCAAAGGTTCATGGGAAAAAAAAGTGGATAGGTAAGCGAATTAGGTGTACACACTTGGTATCCGTAATCGTATTGCCCTGGGCCCCACCCAGCAACCCCATGCAATCAAACAGGGCGTACCAGCAAGCCAGCCAATCTCCCAGCCCTACTCACATCATCGTGCCTCGACTCACCCCCAATCCGTCTGCCACGTGCCCGTGACATGCTTTTGCCCAGCCTTGCCTTACCGTAACTACTTCGGCGTACGTAGTCCCTTGGTCGGATGCAGACCAGTCAGCAGGCAGGAGCAAGCATTCCCCTCAGAGCGCATGTAATAGCCCGGCTGTCGGTGCCTCGAACTCGGGTCTGCTATTCGTCTGCCTTGAGAGGGCCATTACACCATTTTTGGTCCCTATACAACGTAGTTTCAAACGGGCGTCGGGCCTGAGGCAGACAGCCCCATGGCCTGATACATACTTCACTTGTCGTTCTGGAGCTGGCCGCGACAGTGACATGGAACGCGCTAGAAAGCATGACACCATTGGAAGCGTGCAAGTAGGTTAGGTTTGAAATGCACAGAGGGTGGGCGCATAGGACGAGCACCATTGGACAAGGAATTGTAGTCCGGGTGTGGCGGCTCAGAGAGCAACATCAGTCCATAAGCTTGGAGTAGCAACGAGAGCGTTTTGTTCAAGAGGCAGCCAAGAAGAGAACCCATGGTATCCCCTGTCTCCCGCACCTTGGGCGTGCGCGAAGCAGAAGAAGAGGAGCATGTGAAAGTTGAGCAGCAAATTGAGAGCGAAGGAGAAGAGAGAAACGTTGTACAGGGGCTGGCTGGATAGACGTGCAGACACGTAAGTAGGCAGATAGTAGTAGGTAATTGGGCAATTTTTTCTTTGGTTTTGTTCTTACTACTACCTCGGACGCACATTGACATCACAATTTCCGAATACGTATGTCGAGCGGCATTGCAGGAAGAAAATGCTACAATTGGACAGCGGGCGCGTAGAGGTGCAGTAACCATGATCTCGTGATGCTACACTTTTTTTATCTTGCTTTTGCATGTATTCGCGCGGTTGGCTATCGTGACAAAGAGCCCGGACAGTGCCCGGTGCGGTGGTGCTTGCTTGGTGCTGGCTGGCGCGCACGCACGCAACACGCGGGGGGCTGAGCGTGGGAGCTTGCTTCACTATCCCATGTGCGGCCACCACCGTGAGATTGCGGTGCCTTGCTGAGAGGGCAACGGGTCTGCGCGGGGCCACCGCAGGCAAGAAAAATCAGGGCCAATTTCATGTATAAAAGCCGTCGACGACGCTGGATGGGGGAAGGGGTGTGCGCCGAGAGTTTGGTGGTACTGATTCGAAACAGAAAGCACCTTTCATCGTTCTGCTCGTTTGATGCCCACTGCTTCCCTAAAATCAAGATCAACACCACCGTCTGCATCACTCTGACCCTCTCCCCTTCCCCTTTCTCTCTCCCTCCCTCTCTCCGTCCATCTATTTCGCTTGTCCAGGACTCGAATACCTCCCCCATTCTTCGCCTCGACACCCCACCGGCTTCTAGTATCGCCCTTACGATCCGACCAGATACTACGCAAACATGAAAGACTGCCCCGAATGCAGAGGCAATGGCACCGTCAAGTGCGACGCCTGTAACGGCAAAGGTGGCCCATGCTGCAAACGAACCGGCCAAAAACAATGCACCATCTGCGAAGGCACAGGCGCCATTCACTCGGAGCACTGAGTATGCACTGTACCGCCCAAAGCAAAAGCTGCCGCCGCCACTGCCGCTTCGACGAGCTCGGCATGCCTTTTACCCAACCACCCGGGAAAAAAATGAAAAAAAAAATCAGGTACGTACGGCACAGGTTCGTATTACTCCAAGCCACAGCCAGCAAGCCCGTCAGAAAAAAACGGTCACCCAACTCCTACCCGCTCTATACGAAGCCAGCCTCCATACGCCTCCAATCATCTCGGCGCTACACGCGGCCATCTCCGGGACCATTCAAACTGACGTTGCATAGCGCCAGGTCATCATCATGACCAACCGCCCCCCTTGAAATTTCCGCTGTCCTTCATTTCACTAGCCATTTCGCCAACAACCCACTTAACCCCCCATCCCTTGATCTCTTCGCGCGGGCGCGGCGCCCTTCCCCCAAAAAACGTATTTGAGCAAAATCATCAATTTTGCGTAAAGAGACGGGGAGAGAGAAAAGCAGGCGAAGGATGAGAAAAGATTTGTTGTAGAATGCTAGCGACAGGATTCGCAAGCGTTACTGAAGCAAAGCAAAGCCAAAAAAAAACAGAGAAGAGAGAGGAGAAGGAGATGAGCACACCCACGTGTGCAATGAAAATTAACCATATACCCCAGGGCGAAAGCAACCAATGCGCACCGATCCGGCGTTTGTCTCAATTATTATTATTATTATTATTATTTCCTTTGTTAGTAGTACGTACTGGGCGTTCTTTCTCCCTCATCTTATTCACTTTGTGGACGTGTTTTTCTGTGCCTTTTATTTCCCCTTTTTTTGGTTTAAACGTATGTACTATGGCCAACTTGTTGCGTTGTGTTCCTTTACAATTGGCTGGTTTTGGGTTGGACACAGGTTTTAGATTGAAAAAAACACATACGCACACAAGCGAGATATGGCGCGAGACACGGTACTACGTAGCCGTTGTGTCAAGCTGGGATTTGTGAAATCGCGAGGACTGGGGGGGGGCAGTGGGTGAGCGGGTAAAGGAAAAAAAAACGATATGGCGCGCGGGGTTGGGAAGGAAGAGGCGCCGCATGGTTTGCATTGGTTGCCAGTTTGCCGCCAACCGGGGGTGTTTGGGTGGGTGGGGGAATTGACTAGCGGGCCATGGTTTGCTGAATTCATCTCCTGATTTCATTTCCCACCCTTTTCCCCTCAAATGGGCAAGATGGAAGTTTGTTGCTGGACGCTGTGGTTCGCGGTCGTCTCGAGCCCGCACATTGATACACAATACATACTAGATAATAGAACAGGGACAGGACGGAGTTTTTTCTTTCTTTCCTTTCTTCATCAAGATACCATATAGAAATACAATTACTTTCCTTTATTTTCAAATGAACAAGATCCACGATCAATTAGCAATTTGTAATCCCCACGCCTACTAACCTTGGTACGAAACCCCGTCCAATTTAAGTCAAGTATGAAACCCAACCAACGGCTCGGCTCCGCACGCCATGCAAGGGCTGTCCTGAAACACGCTCAATACGCATACGCAGGACAAATGTAAAAAAGGTTACGAAGAATTTCAAGCCACACCCTGACAATCCCACCGCCACAAAACCATCCCCACTACTACCCTTTACCCACAAAACTGTAATGTCACCCCTGGCAGATTGTGCCCACTAATCAAAACAAAAGTTATAAGTGGATACGAAAACCCACGCCAACGGGATACGTAAATATTCCTGTTCCCTATACGAAATTTGACGAACCTGTGGGCTGGAGGGGGGGGGGGGGACCCTCGCTGGGGCCGCAGAATGTTTCTTTGTTTTTTTCTTGCAAATCATCAGCTGTTGCGTGACTGATATGAGCAAACATTCGACGGTTGCTCCCCCCCCACACACATCCCCTTTTGAGAATAAAAGCATGACTCGAGGAGACATAATATGTCATGCTTCACTAGTTCGCTGGGCATTCTTGGGTACGATGGTAATTAGTCAGGCAACATGGCTCGACTTTCGATATGTGGCAAAAATATCGTTACTATCTCTTTGTACCAAGTACACAATGCTTGCATCCCACACTTCTACAGCTTAGCTTTAACCTCTGCTCGCTCCAGCATCGGACCATCCCAGATATCGCGCTCAACAGCCCTCGTATTAATATGCTGCATACCGAGTTGCTCAATCTTCTCCACACCAAGTAATCGCATGCATGTTTCTGTTTCCGCCTTGAGAACTGTGTAATTTGTTGTTAGCAAACTGGCAAAACACACAATTTAAGAAAAAAAAAGAAAAAAAGGAAGAACGTACTTTCAAGAACCCTTTCCACACCTTCTTTGCCTCCTGCTCCAAGACCAAATAGTGCAGCCCGACCGAGACCTACGCCCTTGGCGCCTAGACAAAGTGCTTTAACAACGTCTGTTCCGCGCTTGATGCCTCCGTCGACCCAGACTTCGATGCGGTCAAAGACTTCTGGGCAGTACTTTCGGATCTCCAACAACGTGTGTACGGCAGGTGGCGCCGTGTCCAGCGCTCTACCACCGTGGTTGGAAAGAATAATAGCCTTGACGTGGGGCGCATGGAGCGAAGCAAGGTAGGCATCTTCGTGTGTTTGGATGCCCTTGAGCACAATCGGCTTGTCCGTGTGCTTCTTGAGCCAGGGTAGTGTAGAGCGCCATGTCAAGTCCGCCGCTGTGCCCCAGAACAAACTCTGTCCCACGCCCATGCTCTTTGGTTTGGGCTTTTCATTCTCGCTTGCTTGTGTTGGTGTCTTTGCATCAGTTGATGTCTTGCTTACGCTCTGAGATTCCTGCACGGCTGCACGAAGAGGCAAGTTGGAGCTAACGTTTTTGCTGCGCTCGTCGTGTTCGCGTTTTCCTGGAACCGGCGCGTCGAGTGTGAGACAGATGTATTTAATGCAATCAAGCTTGTTCATACGAGCAAGCATAGCTTCGCTCTTTTGCCGCTCGTTCTGAACGTATAGTTGCCATCCAAAAACCTGGCCTGGCTTCGCATCTGCAACAATTTGCTCGGGTGTCATAGATGCGTTTTGCGATATGAGGTGCATGGCACCGTACTTCTCGCATGCCTGCGCTATACCCCACTCGCCGTCTGGATGTGCAAGCCTGGCCATTGCAGCGGGAGAAACATATATAGGAATTTTAACATTGTGGCCAAGAAAGGTTGTCGAGGTATCGCAGCGTGTGCAGTCGACAAACACCCGTGGCCGTAGTAGTATGCTCCTGTACACCTTGTTGTTGAATGATTTGCTCTGCAGATCATCGCTTGCAGAAAAGTAATATGCCCATGCTTTGTACGGAATCTTCTTCGTCGCCACCTCTTCAATCTCGTCGATGTTCAAAAGACTCTCCAGGTCCACAGGCCCGTCTTGTTGCGCCTCGCCAGTCTCCAATGGTGTCTTTTCTTCTTTTGGTAGTGTGTCTGGGTTGATCGTGCCGAGCTTGTCCGAAGCCTGGAGGTTTTCTTCGAGGATGCCTGGAGGGTGGATAGGATCGTATTCTTCCGTCGCGTCCTTGCCTGCGAGCTGGAGGATGACCTTAGATCCGCCGGGGTGCTCGGGCAGGAAGCGCGTTACGTCGTAGATATTGCCGTATAAGACTACCCAGCAACTTTCTGCTGTGTTGTGCTTTGCAACTAATCCTATGTGTGAGCTACGAGGAATTCACGTCCCGGGTGTACTTGCGACCGACCTTCGGCGTAATCAAAGACCTTCGCCATAATACGAATACTTTCAATCAAGTCTATGTGGAAAGATGGAGCTATATCTGGAAGAAGCAATGGACACGCGACAAAGGTATACAAATAACTAGAAAGAATAAGAGAGGAAATGGCACAGATGAAGACCGAAGGCGGAGCAAATGCCGACGGCCTCCAACTCACCCACAGTTGTGGAGAAAGAAGCTCGGGGTAGTACCACGCCGAGTCAGGCAAGACGGGCCGCATTGCTTTATTCGCGCAGGTAAGCCGCATATCCGGCTGCTTGATTGGCGGATCAACTACCCTCCCCAATCGCCGCGGCATCTACACACACACTATATATCTGAGTCGTTCTTTGATCAAAGCTCACGATTCACTGTGTAGGCAAACATTGCAAAATAATACATCATTAGATTTGCTCAAGCTCATAGCCGCTTACATGCCTTCCTGGTATCCTGCTCGAGTTCATGGCCAACAACCCTGGAATACACCCTCTACTCTTCTTCAGGCTTGGGAACACGTCTATTCCTTCTCGTCCTGCACTTGCGTCTACCCTCGTTTTCATTCCATATCTCAGGCTCATACAGAGGGGAAAACTGCCCTTGCCTACTCTTGTATTTCTTTGCTTTGGTGTCTCGAGTGTTCTTTGATTCCTCACTATCGCTGTCTTCTGTTGACGCCTTGATGAGCTCCTCGAGTTCCGCGTGGATATCCCATGGACAAAATCGTTTCCATGCACCTAGCCCAGGCAGGACTGTTCTTTTCGAGGAAATGGAACGCGCAGGATCCGACTTTGGCATCTTCTCCTCGCAAACAACTTCTCGGTGCCCAGGAGACCGCTCTCGATCGGCATCATCTATGTGAGACATCAATGCGGTGCTCTAGTTGGGTATCAGATGAAGAGGATAAGTATACAAGGTGTAAGATGACAAGATATAGATGCGGCGTGCAAGATGCTCACCAACCCTCGACTTGAAGATCCCGCCAGCCTTGCTCCATCTCGCCTTCATTGACGCCCTCGTCGCCCCAATCCATCTTTTCGAGTTCATTGCGGAAGAAGTCTTGCTCCTCCTCAAGGACGCCAGGCTTGGCGCCCAAACTCTCTGGATACCGCTTCAGATTGTGCCAGTGCGTCAGTGATCGTAAGGCTTGCTCGAGAGGGACACTCTCGTCGACTTCCGCATCCACGTCGCTTCCCGCTAACCAGTCATCTCGAAGTTCTGGTCTACAGTGCAGATACACGGCTGTAATGACACGCATGTTGGATTGCCGCCACTTGCGGCCACAGTACGGGACTTGGTTTTTGAAGAGTTTGAGAGTATAAAGGCGCAACTCTGGCTGCGGTACTTTGAGGCTCTTGCGGAGAAACTGAGATGACTTGTATGATACAAGCATAAGGTTGCGATGCGCTTTGTTTTTGCATATCTTCTGCATGATGCGCAGGTAGTTGATTGAGGTGAAGAATGCGCGCCAGGAGAAGTTGGTGATTGGCTCTTTCGGCAATTCGTTGGTCGGGAAGCCGAGCTCGTCCACCTCCGGGGGCTGCAATTGTGTAGGTTGCATTGCTGGCTCGATGCCCGATTCGTTGGAATCTAGTCTCGAACGGCGAATCGGGGGCGGGGCTGCATCGTCTTCATCAGAGTCTCTTTCCTGCAAATCTCCTTCATGGTGTACGTTGACCTCCTCTTCAGACGCGTTTCTCGAGTGTGACCGACAGTAGTTGAAGAAGTTAAGTTCTTCTTGCTCACTCTTGAAATTGACAATCTTCTCAACTTCTTGTAGTTGCAACAGCTTTAGGATCAGAGGAACATAGCTTGAATCAACAAGTAGTTGCGTGATGTACTCGAACTTCAAGATATGAGAGACCTTGAACCATTTCAAGATGAGAATGAGGGTACCGGTAACTGCCTTGTCCAGCACTTCCTGGGTTCGCATAGCGTCCAGCTCCTCGTTTGTAGCTAGAGTGCCATTGTGACCATTCATGCCATTCATGTCAGGTCGCCCGGCCGTCGTGCCATTTTGGTTATCCTGGAACTGAAATCCGCTTTGGAGGCCGTTGGCTCCGCTTGACTGTGTGACTAGGGCGGTTACATGTGCCAGGATTGCTTTGATCAAGACGATGATTAGTGATTGTAGATTTGGTAATGCAACGCGCTATGATTGTCAGCTCAGTAAATTCGGGGTGTACCTGGCTGGCACTTACGTAGAACTCTTCAACAAGTTGCAGTCTCTCCTCGACGCTCCCAGGAGCAGGGGGTTGCTTCTTTGGCTCGTTTTCTTTTGGTTCAAGAGACAATTCTTCAATGTCGGGATGGTCGTCAGGGCCTGTCCAACCCCGCTCATACTTCATAAAAGCAACACGTTCCTCCCACAGCTGCTTCATGGCGCGAGTAGCCTTCATACGCTTGGAAAACAGTTCCGCAGCCTCCATTATTGACGTCGGAATATCTGAGCCTTCCCATTTCCGGCCACAAAGAAGATCCTGGAGGTCAGTTGAACCTTTGCCACCCAACTTGTTACTAGACTCGTCAAGTGGTGGGTACAGGAAAGGAAACATCTGGTTTGTCTGGTAATTCTGTTTCTTCCCACCTTTGCCACCAGGACCCGCCGGAGAAGGAGGGGGTGACGGCGCGGGAGTCGCGATATGAATGGGCTGATGCAGAATAGAAGTAGTGTTTCCATTCGTATCTCCAAGTCCAGACCCGAAGACATGATTACCGGCGACTTTGTTAGGATGGTTCTTGAGCGGTGGTAGGATAGAGTTGTTTTCTGGTTCTAGGGGAAAGAGCGGAGGCGGAGGATTATATGCTGGATACTTTGAGCTGATTTCTTGACGGAAAAGGTGATAGTCAAGAGGTGAAGCGGTGATGAGCGGATGTCCTTTGGAATCTTCCGAGTCGAGATTGCTGTCCCGAAACTGTTCCTTGACCTTGTCGACTTCCCTGAGACCACCAAATGTTACAAGCATTGTTTTCCATAGCAGCAGAGAGATTTTGCATAAGGGCAGATTGATTGATTCATCCCATCTCAGCTTTGCGATGAGATCGACGAACAGGACAAGCAGGCCTGGTTTTTCCAGATCAAGGATAGCGCTTCGGAGTCCTGTGTTGTTCCCTGTCTTTTCCGCATCGCGTGCGACTTCCAATACAACGTAGACGGCCGTCATGGCACACCAAATCTCACGTCGCTCCGCTTCTTTCGAGTCGCGCTGTACGTCAGGTACCACGTCAACCCCACATGCTCTCCGGAACGAAGCGTCGAGCGTGTCCACAAGGCTCTGCACGCCGTCGCATTCGGCCAACAAGTTTACATTGCGCTTGATGAGCGCAACTTGCCTTCCCGACTTTCGGTGTGCATTATTGCGCGCATGGTCCGACGTCGTCTCGTTGTCCTCTGTGGGTTCCGGAAGACCAGCATTCTCATACCAGCACCCCAGAAGCAGGTAGAGTAGTGCCTCGAGCTTCTTCAACCTCGAGACAGGGTCGAGCTCTTTCAGTCCTGCCAGCAGTTTTTCAACAAACTCCTTGCGTTGTGATGGTGCCGCAGAAGCCCAATCCAAGCCATTCTCGGTGTCCGTTGCGTCGCTTAGCCCGTGGAATGCGCTCCACTCCAATGCGTATGACGCCTGTGTCTTGAGAAGCATGGCCTGCTCTTCCACTGCATATGAAAACCACTCCTCGAGCTCCTCTTCAAAAGACGAAGCATCATCGTAACTGAAGGCGTATGGAGCAGGCTCAACCTTGGGTATACCTCGAACGAGATGTTGCAACTGCGCCAGCGAAAGCGAGTCGTTTTGCGGGGTATCTGGAGGCGGTCCAGGCGGTGCGGGAGGGGGGAGGTGTGGTGCAGGTGTGGGAACCGAATTGCCTCGTTGTAGGCCCGGACGGGTTGGCAACGTTAGAGGAGGGCCAGCCTGGGGTTGGTTCTCATCTTGGTCGAGCAGTAGTCGTTGCTGTTCAGCAGTATCGAGGGGCAGGCCGAGCTCTTCTTCGGGCTCAGCTTCGATGACTGGAAAATCAGCACTCGAGTTTCCAATCAGCTCAGCCTCATCCACTACCGGGGGTGGTAGTGGTTGTTCGCCAGGTACGTCGTGATTCTCCATGTCCGTTTGCGACAAGTGTTTAAATTGTGAAATGATAGGCTGTGGGGATAGACGAGTCGTGCCCACCACATGCGGGACACAGGTTTACGTGCGGTTCATGACTGCTTTGTCGATTGCTAGGAGCACATTGAAGGAACGCGTGTGGCCGCAAGTTGGAGAAGGTGAGTCGCTGTATGGATGCAGGTGGGGGTAGGAATGCGCCGTCGGCTCATGCGTAGGCAGGGTTTCGCTAGCGCGACTCGACTGCTAGCCAACATCACTTTCCTTTCCATCACTGAACGACAAGTGAGATGAAGCAGGGTACAGAATTTCAATGTTACTGGAGAATAGCTCATCTGGCTGTGAATGTGTCGCTCAACATTCAAAGAAAGATATATATATATATATATATGTGTATATAACGACATGAAATAAAAACAAAGCTACCATAACCTGCAAGTAGAAGGAGCCCATACACGCACCACGATTACTATCGGGCTGATGCAGACAATCAAACGACAGCCCGTGTGCTCAAGCGAGCGAGACTTGCACTCCCGTACGCCGAGTCAAAAGTAAGCCTTGATCAGCACTACACGTGCCAATGAAAGACGACAGGGGGGGTAAAACGCCCCCCCCCCCCCCCGTAGAAAAGAAGCGCACATGTATATCCCAAGAGTAACAAAAACTTCGTCAGCATCGTGTCGAAAGAACATGCCCCACTAAAGGATCCAGAAAAGCAAAATCACCACTCTACATTGGATTTGCCCCCGTTTGCTCGCCGTTTTCTTGGCGTTCTTTGATTTCATCAGGCAGGATGCCGTTGTTCTCGCATGCGCGCTTGTAAATCTGGCACTCGTCCCATGCACGTTGGCACTCTGCTTTGAATTTGTCACAGCTGGCGCTGAGCTCGGTGATGGCCTGCTCAGTCAATAGCTTCTCAAGCGTCCACTTTTCAATATTTTGCTGCTCATTCTCCTTAAGCTGAGTTATAAACTGTACGGCGCGCTGGAGGATCGAGCCCTTGTTCTTTTCGCAGCCTGGAACAATCTTGGCGAGTTCATTGATGCCCTCGTTAATTGTCTCGCGACGACGGCGCTCAACTGTATTCAGGTTAGTCGTGGAATCTTTTAAGCATGGGGAAAAAAAGAAGAAATGAACGAACCTTCTTTGTGATTGTCCCTCCGCACCTTGTGCCACTCCTCTGTGCCAACCTGGGGCTTGTGGGTGGCGCTTTGCGGCGGTGAGTCGCTGGGCGCTGCTTGACCAGGGCGGCCTGTCTGGGTTGCAGCCTTAAGAGCCTCGAGGCTGAAGTCCTGCATGCCCGTTTGTTGTTGGTTGTGGTCGCCCATTCCAAATGAGCCGTCACCGGAATTTTGCGGCTGAAATTGGAGCTCGGTCGCTTGGGGCACTGTCATCTGGTGGTAGGCAAGGGCGGCGGCTGCGGTATCGCCCACACTGGCCGCATTGGTGCCGCCATTGTGGTGCACGTCAAACTGCTGTTGCATGTCGTCGTCAGCAGCGTTGTGCGCGGCAAGGAACGAGGCGGTGGCCTGGTCGGTCAAGTCGCTGTTGGAGTTGTGTGGTGCGGGCCGGTTGATGCCTTGGTCGCGCGTGTCGCGCTTTCGCTTGTTGGTGTGGACGCTGTTGTGGGCATCCAACTTGCTATCGGTCGGGTAGCCGGCAGTATCCGCCATGGTTATCTGACAAGGGAGGGATTGGAGGGAGTATTAGAAGAGGGCGAGGTCAAGGTAGGTGTGGGCAGTGTTGCAAACTAGACACTGCGCGAAAGGGACCGGCGCGTGAATGCCAGGTCCGCGCCAAGGACAGGGCAAGGGTGGGAGGCAGAGATGGCGATGTAGCGGCGTGGCAGGGTGGCAGTGAACAAATTACAATACAATCGCGGCGTCGTGGGTTGCGTAGGTGGATAGCTAGTTGGGTAAAGAGAGCAACAAAGTTGCGAGGGTTGGCGGTGGTTGGTGGAGTGAGGCAGGGCAGGATAGACGCGCTTGAATGGTAAGCCGCAGGCGCAATACAACCGAGGCGGGGGAGTAGGAGTCGCGAACGCTTTGCCCGCCAGTTCACGCGCAAAGCCAAGAGAGGAAGTAGGCGCAGTCACAGTCGCAGTCGCAGTCGCAGGCGCAGACGCAAGACACAAGACGCAGCAGGTGGTCTAGCAGTTATGCGCTTAGCATGAACAGTCTGTGTTGGACAAACATTAGCACGGGCGCAGACAGGTGAATGAGATGCAATCCAGGTGGTGCGAGAGCAGCCTCCCCCGCAGGCAGGCGATTGGGCGCATCCAGTCTCGCGTCGTCCCAGGCAGAGGCAGCTGTCAGGACGCAAAGGAGGGTCGGCTCATGGTGCAATGGCCGGTGGGTGGCAGCGAGGCGTACAAGAGGAGTCGTGCGTCGTTTCGTCGTAGATGCGCGTCTCCATGATGCTGCGGTTGTGGGATGCGGAGCAACATGGCGGCCACCAAACGCTCCCTCTCCCTCTTCCCTTAGTCCTCCCTCTTGGACGAGGGCGTCGAGCGGGCGCAGGTGACGATGACAAGCGGCATGGCAAGTCGTGGAGAAGAAAAGAAAAAAGACGGGAGGGAGAAAGGCGCGGGCGGAGGCACAAGGCGTGCTGGGAGAGCAAGAAAGCGACCGTACGGGTCCAACTCACCAAGTCGGTTTCGTCGATTGGTTTGGTAACGTGATGTCGAGTAAGATTAACAAAACGGCCTTTGCACTGGGTCGACGTCTGCGCTGGCGACCCAAAGACGACGACGGGAATTTTTGCAAAGGGCGAGGAAAAACGAGAGTGGCGAAAGTGAAAGCAAAACAGTTCTCTTACCTTGAGTATTTCAGCGCCGCCCGATATGGACTTTTTGTTGTAGGACTATCAGCACAAGCAGCGATGAGGGCTTTGGATCACGAGGAAGAAGAAGGTCACGAGGAAGAGGCGACGCTATCTATCGAGGCAAGGGCGACCAAGAGCGACCAAGGGGCCACTTGGAATCCAACCGAAACCTGGCCCGCCCCCGCCCGGCGAATCAGCGCCGGGGCTGATCACTCGCCAGCCTTCCCCACTCGCCAGCCTTCCCCACTCGCCAGCCCCAAATCCCTCCCACCACCAGAGCACACTGTGCGTCCATTGAGTCTGAGTGGATCACCGCCTTCTCCCTGTTCGCTCGCTCTCCCACTCACTCACTCTCTCTCTCTATCCATCCCTGTCCCGCATCCCCGACCGCAGTCGTCGTCGTCCATCACGGAACAGGAACAAGGACGCGGCGTCGCGCTTTGTGGTCCGAGGCCGATTGACCGCGCCGGACCAACAACCTATCCACCATCCATCCATTCATCCATCATCATGCCAGTTCCCGTCCTGCTTACTGCCCATGAACCAGAACCGCCATTGTCCATCATCCATCAGGCCCGCCTGCCCGCCCGCTGCCCGCCTCGCAGTCGCCCAGGCCCAGTCCAGCCCGGCCACTGCACGGGTGACACCCCTCCACCCCCTCTAGACTCCCCTTGGCTCACCCGACATCTCCAGCAAGCATTCACATGGCTGGGTCAGAAACAGACGTGTGGCATGTGACACACTACGCCCCCCACATTCTGCCACCTACCGCCCATGGCCGCCTTGCCCTTTTTGCTCTTGGACCCGTCATGCAATCCGCCGCCATCAACTCGCTCATTGCGACCTCTCTTTTTTGTTCCCATCTTGGCCATGGTATCTCCATCTTGATCTCGCCTCGTAAACACCGTATACCTTTTTTTTTCTCTTAAATCTCCGTATATCAAAAACAGAATCTTGCTGCCTCCAAACTTGCCATGCTCAATCCAAACCCATCATCACCTGTTCTCAACCCTTTGATACACACGTACACACCAAAGCATACGTAATCAAGCGTGGCTTGCACACTCAGAATCCCCAAGACTCAACCCCAGAATCCCCATGGCCCATCTTTTCCCTTTCTTACTATCCCACTTCAATATATTACCTTGATCGTTTAAGCGCGTTCTAGACGCAAAACGGTCTTAGACAACAAGCCCACCCAAAAACCCGCATACATGGGTAAGGAAAGCAAAATAAGCACATGTACGTACAAGTACGCATGAACAATGGTTTCCACCCAGATCACAAGACACGGGCAGAAGAAGAATCGTTCGTGTGGATACCACGGAGACATCTTTCTCGTCTTCTTCTTCTTCTTCTTCTTCTTCTTCTTCTTCTCCTCCTTCTCCCTGACGGAGGACGCGCGATGTTCCTTTACTCACTAACACGAACAGACATGTTTCCAAAACCGACCTCTTTCTTCAAACACGGAAACATGGGTTTGGCTTGTTTCTCGTGACTTTCAGACTTGTTAATCCCTTACCCCACCCCCCTGGTCCGGGTCAAGGGTCTAATGATTATGCTGCATACGAACATTTGTAAAACCGACTTAGTGCTTGTTGAGCTAGAAGCATGATTGCAGGGGGTTAGATGGAGAGGGAGAGGTGTTTTCCTTGTCTGTCTGCATCGAGGTTGCTACTGCTGCCGCCCGCTCCCTAGCGTCACTTGAGACGATGCGTCTACATGCTATCCGGAGATAGTTCTCATCAATACTGCTATTCTTGTTATTTTGCCATTGTGGCAAAAAAAAATGCTGCAACGCTGGATGATGCCGGATACTTATTCGTATTCGTAGTGGTGGCGACAGCAATCATGATGATCACTTCACCCAATACGACTTTCTCCAGCACCACCGATATCTCTGCCACTGTCAGTCCCAACGCTTCAATCTTTTCCCCCCCTCATCCATTTCAATGCGCCAGGCGGATGTGCTCAAAAGTGGGCGTCGACACACTCTCTCACCACACCTTGTGTTTCGCCGTCATGCTTCCAATGCTTCAAACGCATGAATCCCATTTTTTTTGGTTCATGTGACAGGTGTTTAGATCTGGTTGCAGATGTGAATCATGCAGGGCACTAGAACGGAAGAAGGGCTTTTTTCGCAGATACTTTGGGGGTGGGGGGGACAAGGTGCAGCAAGACATGCAAACATGACTTCTTGAACTGCTCTTTTTTTTCCCCCTCCTCCTCGGATATGTTGCTGAAACAAAATAGATTGGGATGACTCATCGTGCTTGCAACTCTAATAGATTTACTTTCCCCTTTCTCCAGTGTGTAGTGTAGTGAATTCCGGAATGTTTTCAAGCAACAAGTGGCTTGGCAATGTACAGTGACATGTACACTACTACTACCATGTAACTACTCAAACCGCATAGTATTAACCAAACTCCCAATCCCCTGCACATAAATCTCCACCACATCTCCATCCTTCAAGAAGCCCTTTGGCTCCATAAAGAAGCCCACTCCACTCGGCGTCCCCGTCAAAATCACGGTGCCAGCCCTCAGCGTCGTCCCGCGACTCAAGTGCTCGATGATCTGGCCAACGGTATAAATCATATCATCGGTGCCCGTCTCCTGCCTCTTCTCGCCATTGACTTTGGTCCAGTACGTCAGCGCATGCGGATCCGGTATGACGGCGGGACTCGCAATGCAAGGGCCAATGGGGGCAAACTTGTCAAAGGACTTTGCGTAGCCGAATTGGCCGCCAGACACGGATGCGGGGAGCTGGTAGTTGCGGGCTGAGACGTCGTTACCGACCGTGTAGCCTAGGACGTACGACGCATAGTCTGCTGCGGCCACGTTTTTGCAGTCGCGGCCGATGATGATACCGAGTTCGCCTTCGTAGTCGAGTTGCGATTGGCAGGTTGGGTGGATGGGTACGTCGTCTAGGGGGCCTGCGAGCGCGTCGCTGGGTTTCATGAAGATGGCTGGGTTCTCGGGGATTTGAAGCTACAAGTAGGAGAAATGGTTAGTATACAACATGGGGGGGGGGGATTTGGTGCCATACATTGCATTCTTGGGCATGCTTGCGGTAGTTGAGTCCGACGCAGAGAATGATATTTGTGGTTGGAAGTGGGCTTAGTAGCTACAATGCGTATTTCATCAGTTATGTTCTATCGGAGTTTGATACAAAAGCATTGATCGAACATGCCTTTGAAACTGTGGCCTTGCTACCAGTCTTCTTAAACCCACTCTTCACATCGCCCTCAAGCACCTCGACGGTACTCCCCTGAATCTCCCTTGTAGGTACTTCTTTCTCCAAATTACCATACACTGTCTTGCCCTCGGCATCCTCAAATCGAATTAATCGTTCAAAAGCTGCCATGGTTCTGCCAGCTGTGCTAAAGTATGCCTGTACCGGGTTCACTGATGAGACTCTATAGTGAGGAGTGACGTAACGACAAGCAAGCACTGGCCTAGGAACAACGCGTGTGCAGTGGACAAGAGCTCGTATGGGCAAAGGAAACATGTGTGAGTCTAAGTAACCTGGATTATAAATGGCTTATGAGCAATTGCGGGCGCACAATGGCGCATTCGCGGAATGTGGAGTATGCTCAACGAGGCAACCTGCCCCACGTACGCGGGGCTGCCGTTCGGCATTTCCTCGTGCGATGGTCCGAGAGAATCGGCTAGTAATGATTCTACGTACTCACGGGACTGCGCGTCATCTTCAAGCTTGATGGGGATGAACGTTTTTCCGGACTATATACCTCCACCCTGAGAATGTAGTCTGACCAAAGACAATGGCACAGGCACATGGAAACTACACATGATGTAATTGAGAGAGCGATGTGGGATACAAAGTTCAACCTCGAACCAATCTTGCAATTGGCGCTTCCAGCGCGTGGGTATTTCCTTACAGTCTATCTGCTCTGATAAATCGCCGTCGCTAGCAAACTTAAAAGGCTGGATATGGATTCTACCTCAACCACTCATCTCCACATCCCCATTACTTGTAGCAGCCGCGTTAGGGTCTAGCCTTCCCAAGCATCCTGGGCAGTTATGTAGTACCATATGCGCAAACATGTCACAGTCAATGCAAAAGTGGCTCTCACAGGCCCTACATTCATACCTGCCACTTTCACTAGCTTTCTGCTCCTCGCTGTCATCATCATCCTTTTTTGTAACTTTTGATTCCGAGTCTCGTTTGGCTTCACCATTCTCTTTGGCATTGCTCGGTGGGTTACTGAAGGCAGCTAAGCAGCCCACGCACTGTTTGCTGCCCATCTCACGGGCGCGCGACCATGACACTGTGGCCCAATTGCGGAGGGGAAAGAGATGGTGATACGAACGTGCCAGGTGAGTGGAGAGGAGGAGCGTGAGTTGGCATGAAGGGCAAGTGATGGGTAGAGAGCAAACTTTTGCGCTGCACCGAGAGCACGTATAGCCGCCCATTGTCAAGTTTCCGTGACATGCACACATGGTTAACTGATCTTCTACTACCCGTGACGGGAAGCCCATCATCATTAGCGCAGCAGCTGATTCTGAAGATTGTGTGGTTGTTGCTGGCGCAACCTCGTCTGTAATCAGAGGTTGTCGGATGACAGGTGGTGTCGTTGTGGCTAGGAGCAGTTCCCGGAGCATCTCTTGGTCTGTGGCGATTGTGTATTCGGATTCGTCACCTGTGTTGGTTCGCTTGACAATCTCGGTGCATATCTTGAGGCGTGCACCCATGCCAATAATACTGACGCGTATCCGATCCCTCACACACGCCTTGACAGACTGGTGAATGTCGCCAGGGTCCAGACTCAGCAAGCTGCCAAAAACGACGATAACCTCTCGTGTGCCATGACTGGGCGTATGGTAGAGTGTTGCTCTCGCCAACTCGAGAGCATTCTGTAGACTGGGCGAGCCTTTGGGCTCCTTGCCATCATCCTTACTTCTCAGACCTTGTATCGCCGCGACGTGCTCGGCCGGATTGCCAGACAGCTCCGAGACGCGTATACAGACGCCGTCGTGCATGCCCAGAACGCTCATTTGGGATATAGGGTTCTGCTCGAAGAACTCGCGAATGTAGTCTTGCGTAAAGTTGATCATGGTGATGAAACGGTTGGGGCGCATGTCCTTTTCCAGCATGGCCTCTGAAAGATCCAGCACCAGTACGACGTGTCTTATTATGCCACGTTGAAATGGCTTGGTGTCTTTGCGTAACCGCTTGCGCTTGCGCTCCTCCTCCCGCTCTTGTACACTTTGCCCCAAACTACCATCATCTGCTGGCTGTATCGTCTTCTCCACCGTCCGCGAGTACTCCGTCTCCCATGCCTTCCTTTGAGGTGCTTCCTTGACTGGTACCTCTACCTTTCGCCTCTTGGTAGCTGCCGTGGACTGCGCGCGCGTGTTCGAGGCGCTGCCTTTGTCGCCAATGTAATCGTCATCAGACACCTCGTCCTCGAAGTCGTAGTCGGAATCAGCCATGGCTTGCGTTTAGCTTGATGCCTTGGGGGCAGTGCGTTCGGAGCTCAGTCTCGGGGTGTCTAGTATCATAGGTGGTCGCAGAGGCGGATGGGAGTGGCTGCAGGTGGGCTGGCGTGCTTCGGGTAGAGTGCGCATTCGCAATATACGGCGTCAAAGGATGTAGCAGGCGTCGTGTGCTCCGGAGCAAAAGGCCGTTCGATGACGATGCGCGTTCAGTCCCGCATGTTCAGAAATGCGGAAGCAGGGATGCGAGGCAATGATTTGTTTTTGTCAAGGACTACGGTTTCAGCAGACAGAAAGTTTCCAAACGTTTGGAGCTTTGAGAGGGTTCACAGTCAACGGTTCACGGTGGACCCACATTGAGAGTCGGAGCGTGTGGCGCACGTAATAGGCTGAACGCGCATTCACTTTTTTGCATGTGAAACAAACAAAGATCAAAGTGACTGCATGTCTATATCAATAAGATGGATTTAGCAAACATTATGTATATCGTAACAGAAGCCGGCATGACGCATCGAATGCGTCCAAGGAGCCCCAAAATGGTATACGCTGTGCCTGAAACAAAAACCTCCAATCATCATTAAAAACATTACGCCGTTGCTTTTGCAGTTTCAACATGACCACTTTATCCTCCTAAGTATATGTTCCGGCCACCGTGGGCATTGGCCAGTCGTCCTCGGTAATGCTGGACCAAAACACCCAGACCATGACAACGGCCAGGAGCGTGAAAAGCGTTTCAAACAATCCTCCGTTGATCTTGCCGTCGGAACCGTTGCAGATGTGGACGCTGATGACGTATTGGAAAATTTGCGCAATGGCGAACAACAGGGCAGCCGCGATAAGATATACTGATGATGCAGGTTAGCGGATGCGCAGTTTACATCATCGATAAGAGCACTTACGCATGGGTTTGCGCTCGCCAAGGACGCGCAGGACCAGAAAGGCCTCGAGAAGGAAGAAGACGACGATGAAGAACAAGGGTACAAGCTGGTAGAGCGTGTACAGAGCATATGCCTTGTTTGGCGCGTTAAGGGTCGAGTTCCAGTAGCCGGTCCAACCGAGGCCAGTATCAAGAGCAATGTAACCGGTACCGATAAAAATAACGATTGCCGAGCCCAAGAGGAGACCAATGGATACGGCTGTACCGTCATCAAGAAGCTGATAGCCCACAGCGCCGTTGAGCATGAGTATCCAAGAAGTCGCGGTGATGGCAGCAATATGAATGGCAACAAAAACCTGCATATAGATTAGATGGCATTCAGGACTGGGGAAGTCGACAAACGTACGATGCGGACCTTATCGTCGAGAGGGAAGCCGCCAATGGTGAATATTTCGCAGATAGATATGATCATGTAGCCGATAAGGAAAACTTGCATTTCTCTGCGCGCATGGTTAGTCGAGGCTCAGACAGCTCCGTGGCCAAGTACGCACCTTCTGCCGACGGCAGCCTTCTTCCTTTGCGATCGCCATAGTAGGAATAGAGAGACGAGCAGAGCAATGGCGCATAGCAATATGGACCCTGAGGAAGTGAGCACGATTGTGTTTTTTTTTGGAAGCGGCAGGCGCACATACCCAAATTATGCAAATTGCGACCGCCGCCGACGGGAAAGCCTCTGAGAGTGCAGCCGCCCTGCCATCCGTTGTTGTTTTTGGTGGATGCTGGGTTGAAGAGCTGTGGAGAAAAAGCGGTTAGCGGGTTGAGGGCGAAGAAGGTAGGCGCAAAGGGGTGGAGCGTCAGCAACGTACATAACAAACTGTAAGAGGTCAGCATTGAAAAGTATTTACAGGTGCAGAATGCAGGGCGGTGGGCGTCGTACCTGGTAGAGTGCTCCATTGGTTGCCCGAATCTCTGCAAAAGTCTGCAAACTCGCCGTATGAATTGACCATGTTTGCTGTTTACTACTAGGGCGAGGGAAGCGCAGCCCTGGAGACAGGCGCGTCAGGTCTGTGCAGGGGTAGTGAAATCAGTCTCTGGGGAGAGAGCAGAGACAGAGGGGCGCAATGGCGATTAACAGCGGGCGTGAGTTGGGCGGGCGGCGTGGAAGGGTTGGTGTTGAGAGGAAGACAGCGAGGGATGATGCGCCAGCAACGTCGCCGGGCGGGCGTGGCTGGGGGAGCTTCCTTGAAACGATGCACGAAGCCAAGCTTTGGGGGTTTGGGTGCCGGGGTGGGTGGGGACAGTGTGTATGGCTGGGAGGAAGGGCGGGTGGGCGCGAGGTTGGCTAGGGTGGTGTTTGGGAGCGGGGGGGGCGGAGATTGAGGTGTGGTGAGGGCAATTTGGGGGAGTTGATGCAAACGAGGGCGGAGGGCTTCTGCAGTGCTTGAATGGTAATTACTGTCACTCTGGACGAGCAGCCAGCCTGACGCCTGAGGTGGAATAATGGCGAGCAAAGACGTTTAATCTCGGGCGCAGCCAATGGCGGGCGGCTGCTATGGCGCTACGCCGTCTCCACCACGCCGGGGCCGTGCGGTGAGCGGCAGCATACTTATTATGCTTAGCAGAGAGCCACCAGCGCCCAAACAGGCCACGGGGCTGGCCGTGCCAAACAGGCGGCCCTGCCGTTCGCTGCCATTCTTTTTGGTCGTTCGGGGCAGCACGCTACACATACATGTCGCCATTGTCGTCGTCTTCGGGAGCGGCGCTCGTCGTGGCATGGTGCGGGAAAAAAGGACAGCCATGTCTGCTGTCTGCGTGTTTCATCCAAGGTGAGCGTGCAGCGTGCAGCCGTGGGGGGAGTGCTGGATGCTGGATGCTGGGTGCTGGCGGCTGCTGCATCGCTGGTGCGGACCTGGCGGTGAAATGACGTCTGGCGGCTGCCGGCCAAAGCATACCAAACTGACTTGTAGTCTGCATGTACCGACATGTGTAGTAAGCAACTATAGAAGTAGATGCAAAAAAACATGCCCGCCACGATGACATACGTGCGCATGTGGAATCGATCGACCGACCGACACGGCATTGTTGCAGCCATGGCCCTTGCTTGCACTTGCCCTGCCTTTTGTCCCGCAGTGTCTCTATTCTGGTAAACATTGCAGGCATGGCAGTACCAAGGCATGTGACAGACAGCCGCCTCATCCCGAATGCCGCAACAAGGGCACAACTGCACTCTATTCTACACATTCCACACTACTACTACTTGCGGCTCTCTTTCCCCATGCCATGTGCTCTGCATCCACATCCACACCCACATCCCATTGCCTCGTCTATGCGGGGCTCCAGTCCACGATACTACTAACATACTAGCACACAACCTCCCCCCAACGTGACTCGTCTCCACCAGCCTGCATGACTACCAGGGACTCGTCATAATCGTCATACTCGTACAGCACCCTGTCTTGTCTTGCACCTCTGCACACACACACACACACACACACACTGGTCCCTCCCTCTCTCGCAATCAGCCCTCAAGAAATGATAAACAATTGCCCCCCAAAACAAAACATGTTACTAGATAGCACAAACCTTCTCCTATCCACCCATCCTAGCACACCCCCCATGCCGGCTTGCCGTCGTTCCGTCCAAGCAGCAAAGAGCCTCTCCCGACTGTCTCCATCCCCTCCCACTGGCCCTTGCCAAGCATAATCGCCGCCCAGCTATCTTTGTTCGCATGCACCCAACCCTCGATCCACGCATGTACACATCCTGCCCCCAAAACCCTCGCTCGTGTGTGTGTAGCCAGATGTGACCGACTTGCTCACCGCTTTCGCGCTAGTCCTATCCACACCCCAACCACTTTTGGCAGCTTGACCTGTCCCTGTGACGCACCTCTCTTTTCGTTGCTTCTCCCATCCCTACCTTGGAGACGGGCTGCTCCCTAACAGCTCGCAACCTTCACCATTCCTTCACACTCGAGTAGCAGCCGGAGGCCCGCCAACATCCCACTCCACAATCTCTCGTCCTCTGCTCGCCCACGCCAGCACGACTCTGCTTATCTGCTTGACGACCACGATAAGGACAGCGCCCGCTCCTCCTTGGACACGCCCTCGTCCGAGTCCGATCTGTCCGTCTGGTCAGACACGGGCGATCTCGTCGACCAGCTTGCCGACCGCGAAGACCCCCTGCGCCTGCATCTTGAACAAGACTACTCCTCATCCAACCCACGTCGGCAACAGAAGCGCGCCCGCTTCGCTGACCACGACTTGCACGAAAAAGGTGCCCAAGGCATCCGCCTAGAGGACATTGACATTCCCGATCCAGGTCCTCGCACAATCTCAAAGGCTGAGCGCATCCTCGCCGCCATCATGGCTCCCAACGACCGCCCGTCCCGTATCCACGGGCTGCACGGCAAGAAGTTGATGTGCGTTTCAAACAACATCCTACCCTCTTTCCTCAATGTCGCTAACAGTACCAGCTACTTCACCAGTGTCTTCGTCTCACTAGGTGTCTTCCTGTTTGGCTATGACCAGGGTGTCATGTCCGGAATCATTACGTGCGCCGTCCTACTCCCATCCCGATTCGAGCATAATCTGATTGTACTACAGCGGCGTATACTTTAAAGACTACTTCAATCAGCCTACAGCTGCTGAGCTTGGCACAATGGTGGCCATTCTGGAAGTTGGTGCCTTCATCTCTTCACTGGTAGTCGGTCGCATTGGTGATGTGCTGGGCCGCCGAAAGACGATTCTCTACGGCTCGCTCATCTTCGTTGTTGGTGGAGCTCTCCAGACCTTTGCCAATGGCATTCCTATGATGCTGCTAGGTAGGGTCATTGCTGGTCTTGGTGTCGGTACACTGTCCACAATCGTCCCCGTGTACCAGTCTGAAATCTCGCCGCCGCACAACAGAGGAAAGATGGGCTGTATCGAGTTCACGGGCAACATTGCTGGATACGCCGTCAGTGTCTGGGTCGACTACTTCTGCACCTACATCAAGAATGATTGGTCTTGGAGAGTTCCTCTCTTCATGCAGTGCATCATGGGTCTTCTCCTTGCTGGAGGTAGCTTGCTCATTTGCGAATCGCCAAGGTTTGTCTTTGATCACAGCTTTCGACGTATGCTAATTCGCGCAGATGGCTTTTGGATAATGATCACGACGAGGAGGGCATTGTAGTCATTGCCAATTTGTACGGAAAGGGCGATATTCACAACCCAAAAGCACGAGATGAATACCGAGAGATCAAGATGAACGTCCTGCTCCAGCGACAAGAAGGTGAACGTTCCTATGCCGACATGTTCAAACGATACTCCAAACGCGTCTTTATTGCCATGTCCGCCCAAGCCCTTGCTCAACTCAACGGAATCAACGTCATCTCGTACTATGCACCATTGGTCTTTGAAGAAGCTGGCTGGTACGGTCGCCAGGCCATCCTTATGACTGGCATTAACGCCATTACCTACCTGTTGTCCACTATCCCACCATGGTACATTGTCGACACACTCGGTCGCCGCAAGATTCTCTTGTCTGGAGCACTCATGATGTTGGTTTCCCTATCTGCCATTTCCTACTTCATCTTCCTGCAAGCTTCGTGGACACCCAACATGGTCGTCATATTTGTCATGATCTACAACGCCGCATTTGGATACTCATGGGGACCTATTCCTTGGTTGTACCCGCCTGAGATTCTTCCCCTCAGCATTCGTGCCAAGGGCGCCAGTTTGAGTACCGCTACCAACTGGGCATTCAACTGGCTTGTAGGAGAAATGACACCCATCCTCCAAGAGCACATCCAGTGGCGCCTGTACCTCATCCACGCCTTTTTCTGCGCTGTCAGTTTTGTTATCGGTAAGTCTGGAGCTCAATACCAAGATAAAAGTAATATGCTGACATGGCGGTAGTATACTTCATCTACCCTGAAACTGCCAACGTTCGTCTTGAAGACATGAACTCGCTGTTTGGAGACGCCACCTCTGTCATGCCCACACCTGAGACGATTGCGCAAGCCGAATCCATGTTCAGTGGTGAAGGCCGTGGCTCACCTGTGCCTTCTCTCGACATCCGGGGCGGACGCCGTGCTCCCGACGAGGCCATTCCCGGACTCAGCATCGACCCTCCAGAAGTCGAAGGTGGCAACAAGGACATGTCCAAGGCTGGTACCGACAATGGCGACGGTATTGGTGGCTGGATCAGCAACATGGTCAAGAGGACAAAGGGCAATGGCGAAAGCAACAGCTCGCGTGGTGGAAAGTACAAGCAGATTGGACAGGACGAGGACTAGACGGCCCCTGCAGCAGTGCAAATGTACATGATTTCGCATTTCCTACATATGTGTCTGCATTTTGCTGCGGCCGCAGGCTACGGCAATGTTAGCATACCGCGAGCAAGCGGGTGGATAGGAGAGTGTTTTGGGTCGATAGAGAGTGTAAAGCATTGGCAGGGCGTTTGTTTTCAGTAATCTGTGTCCCGATTGGGTAGAAAGTTTGCCAATTAAGATCCCATCTAGGAGGTTCTTTATCATTACTGGATGCTTCCAATTGCTGATGTTCTCTATACATATGCAACTTTGTCTGGGGTTCAAGCTGTGATGTCAAGATCACATCAACTTGCAAATGCCTAGAATGTACTACATATCATGTACACCGAGGGCTACTATATTTTACATATAGACCCTGGCTTTGATCATCTTTTGCGACTGGGATTTGAGTTTGGTGACGTGCGCAAGTGCCATGTCCCTAGGCCCGCTCCCAGAATAGTAGCAACCAACCCAAATTGACCACTCATTCACTCTGCAGAGCAATCATTGGATCATTGCGATACGTTGACGGAAACGAGTGCCATGAGCTTGGAAGCGTCTAGACTGCGTGGATTGGGGCTTTCATGTGATGGGGGCTGAGTGTGAGAGAGCAAAGTGAACAAGTGTCGCCTCTCCCCTTGCACTCGGGCGGCTAGCTCCCTTTGCTCGTAGATCCAATTCGGGACAGCCCACCTCCTCGATTCTGCAGCACTGCGACTTTGGTCCATCGACCTTTTCTTCTTTGCGCCTCTTATGCCCTCATTGTGCGTGGGCCTTTTTTTCTCATCGTACGGCCCAACGGCCACTTTAATTTGATTGCCTTTCCTCAAGTCCACCTGCTTGCGTACGGCTGCACCGAGCGGTCGTGCAGCTCCTGTGGTACCAACTACTCGTTGAACCCCCCAATTCGTATTTGAAGCCACGGGTCCCTTTCAGTCTTCTTACACTACCCGGCAACGATATCCTTTATCGATCATAGACGGAAAAGCCGCTCCCACAATGGCGTCAACCGCCCACGCAACGGGCGCTGATGCGCAAGCCGAAGAGCTACGCAGGAGAAATGTAGCAACAAGACAAGATGCCTCCGCGCCACCAACGATACAGGTACCGGACAAGGAAAAGTCAAAGGACAAGGTATGACCTCCTATCCACGCGGCATTATAGCTGCCCGCCAAATGATGGTCGCCGAGTCCTTTGCTAACTTGGGCACAGCCTTTCAGCATCATCTCGCTGCTTGACGAGTACGAGGTTATCTGGGCTCCTCTTATATTTACCTTCTTCGCCTTCTTCACGCGCATGTACAAGATTGGCCTATCGCCGATTGTGACATGGGACGAGGCCCAGTAAGCACATCTGCTACCACGTATGCGAACCAGGTTCTGACTACAGACAGTTTTGGCAAGTTCGGTTCACACTACCTCAAGCGCGAGTTCTATTTCGATGTCCACCCCCCGCTCGGCAAAATGCTCGTTGGTCTATCCGGATACCTTGCAGGATACAATGGCTCGTTTGAGTTCAAGTCAGGAGAGAAATACCCCGAGGAACTCGACTACACCTTTATGCGCCTCTTCAACTCGGCTTTTGGCGCTGTCTGTATTCCGTTGGCATACTTTACCGCGAGGGAATTGAACTTCCGCAGACCGACTGTATGGTTCATCACACTGGCCGTTCTTTGCGAGAATTCGTACACCACGATCAGTCGCTTCATCCTTCTCGACTCGATGCTTCTCTGCTTCACCTTTACAACCGTCTTCTGCTGGTCCAAGTTTCACCGCCTGCGAAACGACCCCTTCTCTCCGGAATGGGGTCTGTGGTTGATGTTGACTGGTGTTTCAATTGGATGCGTGTGCAGTGTCAAGTGGGTTGGTTTCTTCGTCACCGCCTTGGTAGGACTGTACACAGCCGAAGATCTCTGGCACAAGTTTGGTGACCTCAAGATGCCCAAGGTATATTATATGACCATTTATCATTTAGTCAAGCTGACATGCCCAGGTCGAGCTCGCCATGCACCTTGCTTTCCGAGTTTTCAGTCTTATACTCATTCCGCTCGCCGTTTACATGTTCTCCTTCTACCTCCACTTCATCATCCTCGAAAACAGCGGACCCGGTGACGCCCAGATGAGCTCCCTCTTCCAGGCAAATCTGAGAGGAACCCAGGTTGGCAAGGACAGCCCATTGGAGATTGCGTACGGCTCCCGTGCCACCCTGAAGAACATGGGATACGGTGGTGGACTGCTACACTCTCACGTTCAGACGTATCCCGAAGGTTCCGGACAACAACAAGTTACCTGCTACCACCACAAGGACGCCAACAACGATTGGTTCTTCTACCCTAACCGCCACGAGGTCCCATACCAGCCAGACGAAGAGCTCCGATTTCCCGGCAATGGCGATGTTATCCGTCTTATCCACGCTCAGACCGGTCGCAACCTCCACTCACATCAAGTCGCAGCTCCTGTTACTAAGAGCGACTGGGAAGTTTCTTGTTACGGCAACACGACTGTTGGAGATACCAAGGACCACTGGGTTGTTGAGGTAGTCCGCGACGCTTCTTCCAGGGATCACTCGAGGCTCCGCACGCTCACTACAGCCTTCCGTCTTAGACACAAGGATCTCGGGTGTTATCTTCGCGCGGGCAACGTCAACCTGCCCCAGTGGGGATTCAAACAAATTGAGACGACTTGCACGAAACAGAACAGCCCGCGCGATGTCTACACACACTGGAACATCGAAAGCCACGTCAACGAAAGACTGCCGCCAGGTAACCCGGGCGACTACAAATCACCTTTCCTGCAGGACTTTATCCATCTCAACGTTGCCATGATGACGTCGAACAATGCGCTGGTTCCTGATCCTGACAAGCAAGATGATCTTGCGTCGAGCTTCTGGCAGTGGCCTATCCTCCACGTTGGTCTTCGCATGTGCGGTTGGAATGACGACAGTAAGTTTAGACATGTTTTTTTCCTGTTGACAATTCACTAACATGACAACAGTTGTCAAGTACTTTTTGCTCGGTAACCCAGCGATTTACTGGGGCAGTACAGCTTCGCTAGGCATCTTTGCTCTGATTGTGTTCTTCTACCTGGTACGATGGCAACGCGGATACGACGATCTTAAGCAGTGGGAGATTGACCAGATTCACTACGCGGGCATCTATCCGGTTATCGGATGGTTCCTGCACTACGTGCCGTTTGTGGCTATGGGCCGTGTGACGTACGTGCACCACTACTACCCGGCTCTGTGGTTTGCCATTCTCGTCATGGGCTTCTGCCTCGACTTTAGCACGAGGAAGCTGCCCAAGCAGGTGCAGTGGGGCATCTTCACGGCGCTGTATGTGCTCGTGATCGGTCTGTACTGGTTCTTCCGCGCCATCTCGTTTGGTATGGTGGGACCAAGCAGCCAATGGAGACACCTCAAGTGGCTCGACAGCTGGAAGGTTACGGACTAGAGGGATTTTCGGGTATTTCAAGGATCTGCTCTGAGAAGGAAGGGTGTTTGGGGGAGGATAAGGAAAAGGGTAGGGACTGGGTTATGGGATTGGTGGGGGGGTTTGGGAGGATGGGCTTGATGGGAACGTTTCCAGGGCAAGATTCATGTACAATAATCATTTGTGGAGACTGAACCTCTCTCTTTTTTTTTGCATTCTGATAGTTTTCTGAAACGTTTTTTGTGCTAGAACGGTGTCTACTACCAATGGTAGTAGATGGGTGGAAAAGGTCTTTCTTATTCAGAGAGATGGGATACGTGGTTTATTAGACACTTCTAGAAATAAAGAAATAAAGACAACGTGGCATCAGCATGTCTACTATGATCTAAGTTTGAGAAGATGTATTCAAATCAGAGGTGGTGCAATGCTTAGTACTCAAGTCAATACTATTGCTATTTTCTCCCCTCCTTGACCACATGTCTGATGCCACTCTTCTGGATCTCAAACTCGATGCCGCGTCCCGGCGAGGGCGGGGCCCAAGGCGCAAACACGAGCTTGAACCAGCGTCGCCATTTGGAAATGTGACGCTCTTCGTCGGCCCACTCGTCCTGGCCATTGACCGTATGGATGAGCGGTCTGCTTGCAAATACGGGTTGCTTCTTAAGCGCGATACGGCATGCAATTTGGTTTGTCCAGACGAGGCCAAGCGAAGGCGTCTTTTGTACATGCATTTGCTCGTAGGGAGAGTCGCCCCAGCCGGTGAACCAGGCTTGCTGATGGTCGAGGCTTAGTGGGTCGGGCGAGAGAAGGAGGGCTTGGTCTTGCTGTGAGGGTAGTGGAGGCACAGCATCGTTGGGCTGGCTACCGGTAGAAGTGGTGCGGGTAGCGGTGCCCTGGCTATTTGCAGATGTGGTGCGTGAGGCAGCGTTTGAAGATGCAGCGGAATACGCAGCAGCAGATGGGGCTTTGGTGAAGCGGTCGGCTACTTGATTTGCTACGACAACGGCAATGCCCTCTGTACGCGCAAGCTCTCTCAGCAAGGCGCCGAGCTGAGCGAGCTGTGTGCCACGCCGTGCCATGGATGCAGCAGCATTTCCACCGCCTTGCTTGTCGAACTCGGCGCGGTAGTTTGCCGCGACAGAGTCGAGGATTACGAGGCCTACGTCATGCTTCTTGATTGCGACGGGCAGTTGATAGCGCAGAATATGCTCTTGCGACTCGAGGTCGGGCGTTTGTATGCTGAGGATGCGTGATAGTGAAGGCTTCTCAGCATCGGGGAGGGCAACTAGAGCCGGGTGGGTGGATAATAGCTGGGCAAGACGGGTGGTGGACAGGACAGCTTCGGTGGAGATATAGACTGCCGACTTTGCGAAGCCGTGGGGCGGCTTGAGCTGAGAGGCCAAGAGGAGGGTCAGAAGCAGCTGCGTCTTGCCAGCGCCACTAGAAAAGCCGTTAGTTCAACGACTCTGGTGCGGCGGGGATGGCGGATGGGCAGGACGAACCTCTCACCCGTCACCTCTACCAGGTACCCACGCGGGATGCCGCCGCCCAGGGCAGCATCGAGCTCGTCATCGAGGGTGCTGATGCAAGCCCAGTCGCGCTTGGGAGTGGGGGCAGGTTCCTCTGGCCCGAAGCCAAGCTGACGGTGCAGGGCAGCAACCACGGCATCTGCGAGCTTCCTCAGTTCGCCGGTGGGCACCTGGGCGCGTTTGGCGATGGTGGGCGCGTCGAGAGTGAGGACGTCATTGGTGGTGATGAGGGCCTTGTCGAGCGAAGGTAGCAGATGGGAGAATGGGGTGGCATCAAAGTCCGGCAGCACGTGCAGCAGATCCGTCATGGGCCTAGTGTCATTGCAGAGTGAAGGAGAGTAGTATAGCAGTGTAGTATGTACTAACTAACTATTCTTCTTTGTAATAGTATTTCCGATTCCGATTCCGATTCCCCATGAACATAACATGACATGCGCCACACCCACAGCCGTCCCCCCACCTCTCCACGCCTTGGCACCGCGTGCATCAGCCACATCTCCCCCGCCACAGCCCACCAGAGCTCCCATGACATGACGACAATGGGAGAAACCTGGGGAAAGGCGGGCATCATGTGCTCTACAACTGCCTCGTCCCAAGTCTCGCCATCGACAGCCAGATTGCCGTCATCACTCAGACACTCCCGCTCGATACGCGGCCCCATCTGCGCATGCTTGGGCTTGGTTGCTGTGTGTGCAAGCTCCCCAGTCTGCCGCCGATACTTCCACTCGTCCGTGGCTCTATGACCTGATTACCTACAGGCCCACTAGTCCTCCTCGGGATAACAGCCCTACGCGCATGCCGTATCCTCACGACCGAGTCTCTCTCTCCCTCGCTCCATTTGCTCTTCTGGCCCGCGGCTGATCTTTTCCGGCGTTTTATCCCTCATCACCTTGCGCCTGGGGCCCCAAGTCCACCGGCTCGCCCACAGCTGCCTAGTAAGTCGTTGCACAAGAAAATCACTTTGACTGCCCCCAGCTCATCAAAACTCGACACTTCTGGACAAACGCCCATACTCTTTTAGCCCCCTGTCTAGGCCGAGTTGGCGCCACCAGGTAAGTCTCGGGTCATTCACTCCTCCCGTCTGCCCTTAAACGGGTCACGTACCGAGTCGGCGGTCGGCTGCTTGGGCTGGCTGCTTGCATCCTCTTGCCCTGGCTTGCAGAGCCTTTCACATGCCCAGTTGCCAAGTGGATCCCTACCTAGTGCTGTTTTTCTCCGTCCGTCCTGGCCTTTATAATAAGACCATCCTGCCCATGCCCATGCACCCCGACACTCTTGACAACTTCAGAGTACCCATGCCGGCCTACTGTTTTCAAGACTGCCACTACTTCTATCGCAGTGCCTTGCGGCATCTCAACATTGCCACTTCTATCTCTCCTCTCTACGCCTAACTGACCCTTCTCGCCATGGCAGTTCGTAAATTTACCCAGCCTTCGTCTCTAGAGGATACTCTCCAGAAAGCATCCAACATGTCCAAAGAGGAAGCAACTCGTTCCGAGGAATCTGCAAGGAACAGCACACAGTCCTATCCAGCTGAAGCACAAGCTCCCTTAGCAAACCACACCAACCCAAACTCGAGGCCAGGCATCACCTTTGCCCATCAGGACAGTCTTCCCAAACTTCCCATTCCAGAGCTCGACAGCTCATGCAAAAAATACCTTGCCGCCCTCAAGCCTCTCCAGACACCCAAAGAGTACAACGACACTGTACATGCAGTAGAAGACTTTCTAAAATCCGATGGCCCGGTCTTGCAAGAAAAGTTGAAGAAGTATGCTAGTGGAAAAGCCAACTACATTGAACAGTTTTGTAAGCTCCTCCATTATCAATCAATGTCATCATGCATGCGCTGACCACCATCAGGGTACGACTCGTATCTGAATTTCGATAACCCAGTCGTACTCAATCTAAACCCATTCTTCTTACTGGAAGATGACCCTACCCCTGCTCGCAACAACCAAGTCACTCGTGCAGCGTCACTAGTCGTCTCGGCGCTTGCTTTTGTCAGAGCCGTCCGTCGAGAGGAGCTACCTCCTGACACCGTCCGTGGACAGCCCCTTTGCATGTACCAGTACTCACGTTTGTTCGGCACGGCCAGAATACCAACTGAACATGGATGCCAAATCGGCCAGGACCCAACCTCAAAACACATCGTTGTCATGTGCCATGGCCAAGTTTACTGGTTCGATGTCATGGACGACAACCACGATTTGATCATGACGGAAAAGGACATCGCCCTTAACCTGCAGGTGATTATTGATGATGCGCAAGAAGTCCCGATCCAAGAAGCTGCCAAGGGCGCAATAGGTGTGCTGAGCACAGAAAACCGAAAGGTGTGGGCTGGCCTGCGTGACGTACTGCACAGGGAAGAAGGTTCAAACAATTCTGATTGTTTGAACATTGTTGATTCCGCTCTGTTCGTACTCTGTCTCGATTATACCGAGCCCCAGACTGGCGCGGACCTTTGCATGAACATGCTCTGTGGTACAAGCAAGATTGAGCGCGGAGTGCAGGTTGGCACATGCACAAACCGTTGGTACGACAAGTTGCAAATTATCGTTTGCAAGAACGGAAGCGCAGGTATCAATTTTGAACACACTGGTGTTGATGGCCATACCGTCCTTCGATTCGCTTCCGACGTATATACCGACACTATTCTCCGCTTCGCTAGAACCATCAACGGCAGTGCACCCAGTCTGTGGGCTTCGTCAAGCCCCGACCCTGCGAAGCGAGACCCCGAGAGCTTCGGCGATGTTCAAACTACGCCTCACAAGCTTGAGTGGGACATGGTTCCTGAGCTGGGTACGGCTCTGCGTTTCGCCGAGACACGTCTAGCAGACCTTATCCAGCAGAATGAGTTCGCTACCCTCGAATTTCCCCACTATGGAAAGAACTTTATGACCTCGATGGGCTTCTCACCCGATGCTTTCGTTCAGATGGCCTTCCAGGCTGCTTACTACGGCTTGTATGGAAGGATTGAGTGTGTATACGAGCCTGCCATGACTAAGATCTACTACCATGGACGAACTGAAGCTATTCGATCCGTCACAGAAGAGTCGGTCGAGTTTCTCAAGACATTTTGGGGCGAAAATCCCGCGAGTCAAAAGATTGACGCACTTCGCAAAGCCTGCCAAAAGCACACGGAGAATACTAAGATTTGTTCAAAGGCTCAAGGACCAGACAGGCATTTGTATGCCCTGTATTGTATATGGCAGCGCGCAATTGACGAGTCTCAAGATATGGCTAGCAGCGACGGCTGGGACTCAACACGACCATCTAGCCCCGATGCTTCCGGTGTTGCTTCACCCAACCGTAATTCGACGCATTCAGAAAATGGATCTATTTCTAGCTCACCACCTCCTTCCCCAGTACAGCACTCAATGCCGGCACTGTTCGCAGACGCCGGTTGGGATAAGATCAACACGACGATTCTTTCCACTTCAAATTGCGGAAACCCTTCTCTCCGTCAATTTGGTTTCGGTCCCACTTCCGCTGAGGGATTCGGCATTGGTTACATCATCAAAGACGGCAGCATCTCCATTTGTGCATCCTCTAAGCACCGACAGACGAGCCGCTTTATCGATGCACTGGAATCTTACTTTTTGGAGATCCGCAAGCTACTACGACAGATCAAACGCCGTGGTACTTCTACTGACAAGACGGCCACACGCGCGCGCGAGGCAGAAGACAGACCACTGGCTACTCGCCTCAAGAGCAGAGGAAGAATCATCCTCGGCGACGGAGCCAAACAACAGACGCCCTCAGAGAGCGTCGCAGATGAAGAAGAAGACGATGGTCTAGGTGGATGTAGGACTCCCCCTTCCCCTCCTTCCCTTTCCCTTGGCGATACCTCAAGTGTCGATTCCTCTTCTTCTGCTTCTTCTTTTCCGCCTATGCACCTCCCGCCGACTCCGCCTCACTCTCCGCCGTTTAAGCCCATGACGGCGGTCTTGTCGAGCTCGCAGAAGAAGCCGATAGCTGTTTTCAAGACGGTGCGAGCGAGGCAGGGGACGCAGGGAGCGTCTGCGGCAAAGAAGAAGCCAATTTTCTATTCTTCTTGATTTCTTTCTTCTCTTTCCAGACTTCTGCAATTTAGCGTTTTGATCTCTCCTGCAAGATTTGTGTCCAAGACTTTATTGATTCACATTTTCTTTCTCCCCCCACACAGACGCAGATTTTCTTTTCCAAAGATTTCATTATACTGATTATTGCTCTTCTTGTGCATAGATGGCTTCTTCGACGCGGGTATGCTCCGTCAGGCGCTCAACGCCAATCGAGCACAAGTCGAACCCGTCGAGCGCGACGTGATACGCAGGAACATTGGGAGGAGGTTGAGACTGGCCGAGTACTAGGGGGTGTCGTCTGGTGGGGATAGTATGGTACTAGCGGCTGTTGGAAGTGGTGGAGTACAATATACTGAGTAGATAGTGGATGAAGAGGGAAATATAGTGTGTTGGGGTTGTATATCTGTACATAATGGCTCTGTATATGTGAATGCTTCTCGAAGAAAATAGTATTCTTGGAAGTCGTGAGGTTGTTTTCTCATTCTTGATCTACGTACCTTTATCTAGCTCATGTCAGATGTTAATGCGTTACCCAACTTCATTTATTCAGCATGCCCTCGTGACCTCGAGATTCAAACGGGTTCTGTCTCACCATGTTCGATCGTCATAGTCTTTCTCTCTTTTATGTCTTCTTGCTGAAATAAGAATCGATATGCCCGAACTACCAGGGAAACAGTATGACGAAGCATAGAGCGTATGGATAATTTCCCTTTGCTTAACCATTAACAAAAATCCATAGATGAACCCTCCGAAAAGAAAAACAAGTCCAAAAATACACGAGTCAAAAAAAATCATATCTGGAATTCTTTTTGTAAATATATACATGATTCATCAGGAAAATTTTCATATCCCATATTCACATCTACACAGCAAAGCCCCCGCCCCTTTGGTAAAAACAAAAAGAACAAACCTAGGCCTTGCTGAATCCCAGTTCATACAAATAACCTAGCACCAAGCGTCCGTGCTGAAGCACATGGTTAGGATCCATATGCTCCATGGTATCATTCGGAGTATGAATGTACGGATTGCGGTAGCGGAAGTCTGATTCGAAGACGAATGAGGCGGGGTATCCACTGCGCATGGCGGATCCGTGGTCGGAGCATGCGTAGCCGCACGTGCTGTTGACGTAGGTGATGTCGGTGTACTGAAATTACGTCAGTATCGTTGTATTCATCTCCTTTCTTCCTTGTTCCACCTCGCTTCTCCTCGTGGCAAAAAAAAGGGGGGGGGCGGGGAAACCGTAAGGGAAATGGGGATATAAACGTACCTCACCAATGACGCCCACCAGATACTGATTCAACACCGCATCCGTAAAATCCGTAATCAAGCCAAAACTCTCGGGCTTCCCTGCATTCAACGTCCCCTTCGTGTAACCCACCATATCCTGCTGCAACATGGCCCAGATATCTCTGCCTGCATTCTTATACTGCGTGAAGATGTCCTGGCTGCCGCGGAGCCCGCCCTCCTCAGCAGCGTACCAGTGGAATTCAATCGTGTTTTCCAAGAGGTTGTTGGAGCCGGCGAATGCCGAGTCGGTAAGGAGCACGCGAAGGGCCTCGAGGAGAAGCATGGAGCCGCTGCCGTCGTCGTCGACGCCTGGGGCGCGGCCGGTGAGGCGGTTGGCTGAGTTGATGGAGTCGAGGTGGGCGCCTACGACGACGGTGCGGTTGGAGCGGCCTTGGATGCGGGCGATGATTGAGTTTTGGGGCCAGAGCGAGTGCGGGAATGCAGAGGCGGATACGCCTGGTTTGTTGGCTGCCTTGACGACGGCTTGCACTTGGGCGAGGAGCCATTGGGCGGCGTCGGCGCCAGATTGGGTTTCAGAGAAGCGCGTATGGAAGGTCGAGTATTGCTCGAGGTTTTTCTTGATGTTGGCCCAGCTGAGCGAGGGAAATAGGCGTCGGATGTTGGCGCTGTATTGGAAGCTGGTTGGGTAAGCGGCCGCGCGTGTGACGGCTATGGGTTCGGCAAACGAGTCGGTGATGTCGAAGAAGTGGCTTCCACAGCCGCCACCCTGGGGGTTATCGTCAGTATCAACAAAAAAAAGGGAAATGTAATAAAGAAAGAGGTTTGCGTGGGG